TGCTATAAAGCAGAAACTATCACAGCATTGTAAATCAATTATACTCCAATAAAAGTTTAAAAACTAGAAACAACATCTAAACCTCCACCCTGGTTTCCAAGGCCATGTGTGACCTGATCCTGCCTGTAATGCTGACCTCATCATCTCCTTTTCTCTCCATTGCTAAGTCACAGCCACCAAAAGTCCTCCTTACCATCACTCAAACATGCCAGACTCACACCTGCCGCAAGGCCTTGGCATATGCTGTTCCATCTGTCTGCAACATTGGTTCCCCTGAGCTGGTTCCTTCGGAGTAGTCAGTCTCAGCTCACTCATCACCTCACTGGCCATCCTATTGAAAGCAATTCCCCCTGTGTGCGTAAGTGCTGAGTTGCTCAGTTGTGTCTAACTCTTTGCAACTCCATGGGCTGTAGCCCACAGGCTCCTCTGTCCACGGGATTCTGCAGGCAAGAATACTGGAGTGGGTTGCCCTGCCCTCCTCCAGGGGATCTTCCTGACCCAGGGATTGAATCCTCATCTCTTAAAGTCTCCTGCACTAGCAGGCGAGTTCTTTACCACTAGGGCCACCTGGGAAGCCCAGGTCCCCCTACCTAGCCTTTCTTTCTCACCACATAAAAGATTTGTATCTATTCTTTGTTATCATTCTTCTCCTCGCTCATGGACGGAAGCTCTATGAGGGTAAGGGCTTTTTCTGGCTTGGTCATTGCTCTAACTTCAACACCAAAAATGCCACTTGGCACTCAGTAGGTGCTCAAAATATTGATAGATGTGATGAATGAATGACTGGAGGGTGGCGTCTTCAAAGTGCAGAATCTTAGAACTCTGAAACCTCGGAAGCAGGGAATTCTGGAATCCTGGACCCGGCAAATCATCTCACTACAGAGTGGCTCCGCTCACAGCCTCCCTGGATCCTCAGACACAGCACGGGGGCTGGAAAAAAACCCACCCCACCCCAGCCCTGTTTTGCTGTTGTCCAGATGCTAAGTCGTGTTCTCCTCTTTGCGACCCCAGGGACTGCAGCACGCCAGGCTTCCCTGTCTTTCACTATTTCCCCGAGCTTGCTCAAACTCATGTCCATTGAGTCGATGATGCCATCCAACCATCTCAGCCCCTGTCACCCCCTTCTCCTCCTGCCTTCTATCTTTCCCAACATCAGGGGCTTTTCCAGGAAGTCAGTTTGTTGCATCAGGTGGCCAATGTATTGGAGCTTCAGCCTCAGCATCAGTCCTTGCCGTGAATATTCAGGCTTGGTTTCCTCGGCGCTGATTGCCGGAGGACAAAACTGAAACAGAGGCCAAGGAGGGGGTGGTGGGGGGACCCACTGGCAGATCAAGATGCTAGTCTAGCCAGCCCACCGGTGGCCCCTTAGAGGACAATGGGGGGTGGGGGGCGAGCTGGGCTGCTGGGTGGGGGCGGCGATGAGAGCCTGCAAAGCGGTTCCCACCCAGGCCACCCTCCTCCTCCCCCCCAGCGGCCAGCCTTGGTGGGGGTGGGGGGGACGGCCGGGGCCTGAGCCCCAGATGTGGCCCAGTCAGCAGGCCCGTGGTGGCCCGCCGAGGAGGGTCAATGCCACGACAGTTCTGGGACTGGGGGAGGGGGTGCCCAGGCCGGCGGGCACCTCACAATGAGGTTTTGTCCCCCGGGGGCCGCTCTCCGAGCTGTTGCTCTTAGATATATAGAAATGGATTTTGCTGGAGGCCCCAGCTGTGTGTGCTGACCGGCGCTCCCCCCGCAGGGGCCCGACTGAGGGAGGGAGAGGGCCACACTGAGACGCCTATTCTTTTCCAGCTGATACACCCCAGAGGTTTTTCCCCCTCTGCAGCCTCCCTTAAGACAATTGTTATTCTCTGCTCTGCCCCTTCCCCCACCCGGGTCAGGCCAGCCCCGCGGACAAAGTAGACACCCGCCTAGGCCGAGTGATTTTTTAAAATGAATTTATTTTAGGAGTTGCCCAGGACCGCCTGGAAAATCAGCTTCTTTATAAGCCTCCCCCATCCGCAGGTCTTCCTGCCACATCCCACGCGGTGCCCAAAAAGTCTACCGTTAGGAGGCGGTCCCCATCCGCAAGTGATGCCTTACCCTGGCAGTGGGTGGGTGGGGCTATGCGTATTTCGTCCCCAGCACCCAAGTCCTCAGGCTGGGTTGTTGGTTCTTGGCGCATGAGCCTTGAAGATGCATGTGGTGGGATGGGGCTTCCTGTTCACCTCATGGGAGCTGACCTCGCTCAGGGGGCTCTAGTCCTGATGTCTCCCCTGACTCCACTAAACCACTGAGCAAGGGAGCAGTGGTCCCCTGGAATCTTCATATCTGTGCTGGGGGACTAGGGTGGCTGAAAGGTCCCAGACTCCGGGGCTCAGCGAAGAGTCAAAGCTGCCACCTTCCAACTCCATAATGAAGGAGGTTGAGGCTGGTGAAGGAGCCCCAGAGAGCCTTGCGTAAGCAGGACCTTGAGGGAACCCCTCCATGGAGAGGAGTCCCTGCCAGTACCCCCTCCTCACCACGCCACACGAGTAAGGGACCAAGATTTCCGTGCTGGCCCGGCAGACATAGCTGTCCCTGGGGCTGGCTCAACCATTCTGCAAGGCCTGTCCTCTGCACCTTCATCTCTGAGTCAACCCATTATTCCCACCTCACAGTATAGGTTAAGTACCAGGGAGCTGATTGATAAATGAGGCTTTCTCTGATTCCAGGTCAGAGCCCAGCGCTGGCCCTTGAGGGGGCAGTCGGGTCAGGAAGAGGCAGCCACTCAGCAGGCAACCCTGGGGAGAGGGAGGCAGGGACATGAGCATTAATGAGTAACGGGCTGGAGGCTGGCCCAGGGGAGGGTGGAGTGCTGTGGGCAGAACACTCCCTACTGCAGCCTGCAGGACTCCGGGCCTCCTGTGGACTCAGACAGCCCTTGGCACCTGCCCACTTTGCAGAGGAAGAGAGGAGGGCCCAAAGGGTGGTGAGCATGAACCCAGGGAGTCAGTGAGCGAGGGGTCCTGCAGAGTCACCTCTCTCTCCCACCTCCCTCCCAGCTGAGACGGGACAGGCCATCCGGGGGTGCTGAGTGGGGTCTGGGAGGCAAAGCGCTGCTCCAGTCCTTCCCCCAGTCACTCCTCATGAGAGCCTTTCCCCGTTCCACACTCTGGCTGCGTGACCTCAGGCAAGTCACAGAACCTCTCTGATCCTCAGCTTCTGCTCCTGCTCCCCTGATAAGACAATTTGCAAACCAAATGAGACCACAAGGTGTGAAGAGCCTCTGAAAACCATTAGGCGAGGGTGGAGGCCACGGTCCGGGGCTGGGAAGGCCTGGATTTTAGTCCTAAATCTGTCCCTGGGCCTGAGCGCCCTCGAGAAGGTTTCCACCCTTATGTAGCCTCCGCTTCCTCTGTTCAAAGAGGCCTGGGGGAAGACAGAACCACTCTGTCACCCTCCGCAGCCCCTCAGTCTGCGCTCAGAGCTGGGAGCGTGGGCAGTGTGGGGAGGGGAAGGTCCAGGTCTGGTCAGACCTTGGCTGGTCCATGCCCGGGCGGCGCTGGTGCAGGTCCCCTCGGGACTGGCTGGAGGAACAGCGCCATCTGCTGTGCGGAGGGGGCAGACCTGGGCCCCGGGCTGGCAGGAGGCCTGGCCGCCAGCCCACCCTGGCCTTGCAGCCACTCCTCAGGACTCACTGGCCGGGGGCCAGGCTGGAAGGGGGTCCCTGGGCCTGACCATGGCTTTTGCACCCTCCCTAGGGAAGGTGGGCTAGGAGGTCTCCATGATGGGAGATCTTGAGTTCCAGTCTGAGTGCTGCCAAGATGGGCTTCCCTGGTGGCTGGGACAGTAGAGAATCCGCCTGCAACGTGGGAGACCCGGGTTCGATCCCTGGGCCAGGAAGGTCCTCTGGAGAAGGGAATGGCTACCCACTTGCCTGGAGAACCTCATGGACAGAGGAGCCTAGCGGGCTACAGTCTATGGCATCACAGAGTCATACACGACTGAGCTACTAGACACTTTCACAGGGAAGCTCTCAGCGAAGACTTCCAGTGGCCCCTGCATCCCAGTGCTACCCAGATCGGGAGACTTAGTGCCCTCACCAACCGGCCACCCCCTACCCCTGGCTTCCAGCAGTCGGGGTCGGAGTGGGGGAGGGCAGGCACTGTCAGACCTGCCAGGGGGAAGAATGGGCCCTAACAAGGTCAGACAGATCCCCTGGCATGTGTCTGACACAGGCAGGGCCCAACAAGGAGCTGCCCCCATTCAAACGGGGCTTCAAGTGTTTTCTGGTCTCTCACTGCGACTCTGAGGGTGGTCCTGGACCAGGGCATTGACAGTGGTGACAGCCGACCTCGGACTGGGGTGGGGGGTTCCCCTCCCACCACTCTGCCACTGAGATCCACCCCCACCCAACCTGCGGGCAAGAGAGGTCACTCCAGGCAGCCAGCGTGCTTCTACATCCAGTTTATACACAGCTCTATACAATATACAGAAACCTTTATATACAGATATATTTATAGAATAAGCTATATTAATTTGTCTCTCCTTTTTACAGCAATATTAGTTTGGATCTTTCATACATTAGGTACAAAAAAAGTCATGGGAGGATGGCACGAACAGTGCATGAGTGTCTGTGGCGCCCAGCTCTCACTACTGATTGCATATGGAGGTCGCCCAGGCCCCTGGGAGGACGGGCCAGTGCCGTCCGGGAGACCTTGTGCTGCGGGTCTGGGGGACAGAGTGGGGGGTCTGTCTGAGCCGAGCTGGGCTGAGGGGGGTGGCTCAGACCCCCCCGAGTGTGGTGCGTGGAGGAAGGGAGACACACGCAGCAGGCCCATCCTCCAGGGGCGAGGTGGGGAGGGGGTGGGCTGACCCGGGGGCGTCCAGGGCTGAGTCCGAGCCTGCCCCAGCCCCAAGCCTGCCAACCTGTGCGGCTGCAGCCTTGGGGGTGGGGAGTCTGTCCCTGATGGCTCAGTCCCGGGCATGGGGGGGCACCACGCCCCCTCAGAAGTCCCAGGCCCACCCTGGTGGAGGAGGAATTAAAAGGCCAGATCCCAAGCCCCCATGCTATTGGCTGGGGTGCTAGTTGGAACTTTACTCTGATTTATGATTTGTCTTTTTTTTTTTTTAAACTCTAAGAGCCACTGATTCCATCTTGCTTCTGTGCAGGGGGGCAGTGGGGGGGCAGCCAGCAGGGGCAGGAGATTGATGAGGGTGGGAGTCACAGAGGGTGAGGGAGGCCCAGCTCCCAGGTCTCTGTCCCCATGTGGTAGGGTGGGCAGGGGTCCCAGATAGCAGTGATCGTGAGATGGGGGTCTTGGTGAGGGAAGCCCTAGGCGACCCAGGGAGGCCGTGGGTGGGCCCAGAGTAGGGGGGACCATGCCTCCGAGGAGATGAAGGCACAAGCAGGCGGTCAACGCCTCGGCACACACCCGTCTTCCAAACCAGGGGTCAGAGTGGCCGGCGAGACGAGGGGGGGACCGTGTGTCAGAAGTTGAGCTCATCCCATGGCCCCCACTGCATGGCGCCCCTCATGTTCCCTGCCTGCTGTTTCGGCAGGCTGAGGTGGGGGCCAGCGGGCAGACGGGGCGGGGAGGGCGCTCCAGCCACCCCCCTGACCCTGTCCTCAGGGACGGCACACACTCATGCACATGCACACACACACACCCCCACCCCAGCATGCACCACCCCCCTGCTGGGCCTCCAGGGACAGGCAGGGTCTCCATGCCATCCCCTATGCTTCCCCAACCTAGCAGGAAAGGCGCCCCTCCAGTGGAGGCTGTGGAGGCCTCAGGCTAAGCCCCTGGCCCTCCCGGGTCTCTAGCCAGGTCCCACAATACCCTACTCTCGGCTCCACTTCCTGACAACAGGACATGGCGGGTGGGAGGGGAGAGAGCCCAGCTCCCAGGAGAAAGCCCAGGGCGGGGGGCAAGGAGTGGGAGCTGCGGGGAGCAGAGGCTTGTTTGGTTTCAGATCCCAGGGCCTGGAGTGCCGAGCCTGGGGGAGGTGATTAAAAGGTGGGGGGGGGTGGGTTGGTGGGGCCTTCCTTCTGCCCAGGGCACTGAATCTGCAGCCAGGGCTTTTCACACCTGTGCCCTCCACCCTTTGAGTGGCCAGGATCCTGGGGGTAGAAGGCAGGCCAGGAAGGAACGGGCTGGCAGGGCAGGCAGGCCCGGGTACCCGGGACCCATCGACAGAGGGATCACCGTGAGGGACATCAAGCAGATGGATGGGCCACCTCCAGGCCCCATGGCTGCTGTGGGCCCTGTGGAGGCTGGCCCCTGCCTGCTTAGAAAGGGGCGGCTGAACACACGATTGCAAGGGCGAGGGGGGCTTGCAAGCCCAGGACACATCCTGAGCCCAGCCCAGCAGCTTCTGTAAACATACACAGCACTGCGGGCCACCTTGGTGGGGGGGGGGTCACCCCCAGGGGGCTGGCCAGCAGGCACCAGATCTCGGGGTGGCCAGGGCAGGTGCCAGCCTGGACCACAGATGAGAATATGTGGGGAGGGGGCCGCTCTCCATCTCGGCCCTGGGAGAGTAGCCAGAGGGCAGTGATGGGGAGTCAGCATACTCATGGCCTGTCCCGGAATAGGGGGTGCCAGAATGCCCCTGCAGGGGAGCAGTCAGGCTGGGAGGGCAGAGTGCGGCCCTGCCCCACCCCTGGCAGGCTGTCCCTGCAGCCTCCTCCCTGCTCACGGCCCTCCCTGTCATTCCCTATCTGGAGGGCCCAGATCCCAGCTGCCTTGGCTCCAGGGGGGTCCTAAGCTGAGGTAGGGAGGCGGACCCCCCAGCTCAGCAGCAGTGCTCAACGCCTGAGGCGACACTGGCCCAGGAGGGGCCTCTCCCTAAAGCTGCCCGGCCTGAGGGGCAGCCACCAGGAGCCCAAAGGAGCCACCTGCTCTGGCCTGGGCCAAGGTCAGTAGCCACTCCTGGGTGCTGCTAGCGTGCCGAGATGACCAGGTCGTCCTGCTTGGTGGGGCTGGCTCCGCGGCCGGCCTGGGTAGAAGTCCGGACCTTGTCCACCGCCAGGCATTCCTGGCTGCTGAGGCCCGTGGGGGTCAGGTCCATGAGCTCGCCCGAGGAGCTGAGTGGGAAGGAGGGTGACAGCGAGATGCCCGAGGAGGGGTCGGCCGAGCCGGCGAAGAGCCGCGGGGGCTTGGGCACCAGATTGGGCTCGAACTGGGCTCGGAGCAGGATCTCCTGCTGGCTGGGGGACTTGGGGCCCTCGGCATAGTCGCTGGTGGGGCTCTCCGGCACCACCATGCAGTAGAGGTCCTGGAAGGAACTGCTCTTGCTGTCCAAGTTGAAGAGGCTGTCGATGAACTCGGCGAACTCTAGCACCTGCGGGCTGGGCGAGTCCCCCAGGCGCCTCTCCTGCAGCGCCAGCTCTCCGCTGCGGGGGGCTGCCCCCCCGCCCCCTTCCTCTGGCTCCTCGTTGGCCGCCGCGCTGGGGGGCCGCTCGGGGGTGACGCCCCCACTGCCCAGGGCGGCCTCCAGGGGCTGCGTGTCCTGCGAGTGCTTGGACAGGCTGTCGGCCGCCAGCAGCTCGGTGCGTGAGCTCAGGGACGGGTTCTCCTCAGGGATGGCCGGGTCGATGTAGAAGAGGTGGCCCTCGTCACGCTCCAGCACGGCGTGGAGGCTGGGTGAGCCGCGGATGCTGCGGAAGCCGGAGGAGCGGCGTGAGTCGAAGCTGTACAGAGACTCCGTGTCCGACAGGCTCTCCATGGTGGCCAGTGGTGCCCGCCGCGCCTGCAGCTCGGCCGCCAGCCGCTCCTGGGTGGACAGCAGCAGCAGCTCCACTGGGTCCTGGCGGGCCGCCGAGGCCGCGGCCACGGGGGAGAGCAGCCGCCCCTCCGAGAAGCCCTCCAGGCTCATCTCAGACTGGGACTTGCTCCTGCAGCGGGGTAGGGCAGGGAAGGGTGAGACTCAGAGGGGCGGGGAGACCCACCCCCAGCTCCTCTAGCTGGAGGGAACTTGGGGAGGGGAGGAGAGGGAGGTAGTTGAACGGTCTGGGGACAGGGAACCCTCATTTTTGAAACCAGCTCAGGAGACCCCAAGATAGAAGACAGGAGGGTCGATGCAGGGCTGAGCAGGACAGCGGTGGGCGGGGGACACTGGTGCCATTGTACCGACCAGGAGACAGGCCCAGAGAGACTGGCTGCCCCAGGTCCCTGCAGGCAGAGGTGAAGGGGAGAGAGGGAAGGAGGGAAGGCAGGGAGGGAGGTGGCACAGCTGAGATCCGCATCCACCAGGTCCAGCACCCTCCAGGCCAGCACCCAGAGGGGGTCCCTTCCGAGCTGCTGTTACTTCCTTCCTCACCCTGGGGTCCCTCCCACCTCTCCCAGGGGGTGTAGCCTCTGCTGGATGGGGCCCTGGAGCCCCGGGCTCCAGACACGGGCCTGCAGGGAGTGAATGAAAGTCCAGGGACAGGGAGGCAGCGGTTACTGTGGCTGCACGGACACTGGCTCCCCGGTCTGGTCAGCAGCAGGGAGAGACATCCAAGTGTGCCCGCCAAGGGCCGGGAAGCCACCAGCACCCTTCTCAACTGCCCCTGGGCCAGATTTGTCACCGGGACCCAGGACCTGGGAGGGAAGGGTCCCAGAGAGGCAGAAGGAGCCCCATCCACCTCAAGAGCCACAGCCTCAGAGGCCCCAAAGGGTGTGTATGAACGCAGGGTATGTGCGCACACCTCTGTTTGTGTGCAGCATGCATTGCGTGTCAGCCGGTCCAGGTATCTGAGTGGCTGGGTCTGGGCACAGTGCATCCCTCACATACATGCATGGCTGCCCGTGCAAGCATATACCTGTGTTCGTACAAGTGTGTTGGCTGCTGTCTTGGTGTGTGTTCTATATGTGAGTCTGTATGCGGCTCTGCACACTCAGAGCTACTATCTGTGAACACAAGTATACACACACATATGCTTTAATACATGATGCAAAGAGCCGACTCGCTGGAAAAGACCCTGATGCTGGGACAGATTGAAGGCAGGAGGAGAAGGGGACAACAGAGGATGAGATGATCGGATGGCATCACTGACTCAATGGACATGAGTTTGAGCAAACTCCGGGAGATGGTGAAGGACAGGGAAGCCTTGAGTGCTGCAGTCCAGGGAGTCACGAAGAATCAGACACGACTGAGCGACGGAACAACAAATGTGTGTGTGTAAGTGCACGGGTGTCCACCTGTTCGGGTCTAAACAGTTAATGAGTGAATCTGTTTGTGACTGGGGGTGTGTGTATCCCTAGACGCCCACTGGCCCACATGGGCTTCAGTGGTGGCAGGCTGAGGGGCAGTGGGGGGCAGAGCAGGAGTGACCCCAAACATGCATACAGAGCATGTGTGAACATATGGAGGGCCCAGGGTGTATATACGAAGGTCCACAAGCATTCACGCTCTGAAGGCACACTTGGGGCCCCTGCATGCACTCCCTGGGGCGGGGAACAGCACTGACCTGACGCTGCTGTTCCGGTGGTCTGCAGCGGGCAGCTCCAGGGCCAGGCCGGCAGGCACAGGTGGCCCCGTGGGCAGTGGCTGCTGCTGGAAGATGAGCTCGGGGGTCAGGTCCACCTCCGTGGGGCTCACCATGACCTTCGCAGCGGACAGCAGGGCCGTCTTCCCCTTGTTGTAGTTCTCCAGCACCTGGGGATGGGACGGGGAAGCCGGCAGTGGCCAAGGGGTGACAATCACAAGTGGGCGCGGGGTGGCAGGCCAGGCCTCTCAGGCCCGAGAGACCTTCATGGGGTCAGCTGGGCCCACTCTCCTTCCTGCCAGGCCCCCGCTCCTCCAGGAAGGCCAGGGACGGGCCCTATGATGGAGCCTCGCCCCACACATGGGCCAGACTGGAGCTGCCCTGTGGTCGGCCGTTCCACAGCCAGGAGATGACCAAGGCGGCCCCTGCTTGGCTGTGTATCTGCCCAGCGCCAGGTGGCTTCGGGGTTTCTGAGCCCAGCCTGCCTCAGGGACAGGTCCCCATGCATCTTCTAGACTCTCCCACCCCAGGACCACACAGTGGTGTGGACAGAGCCGGGGTGTGGAGGCCAGGACACGAAGGGGCTCCCCGGCCCACTGGGTGTCCAGGGAGTGGACGCTTCTGCGTGTCGTGGCCCCCTTGTGTGTAATGCGGGGACGGCCCCGGCCAGCGGGGGCCGCGGCTCACCTTGTTGAGCCCCTCCATGACCACATAGGGGAGGTGTTCGTGCAGCATGGCCGGCGAGATGATCACCTCGTTGAAGGCCTTGTTGTCGCCCCAGATGGCGAAGTATGTGGGTTCCTCCTGCTCGCAGCAGCTGAGGGGTACAGGGGCCAGAGGGAAGCAGGGGTCGGGGGTGGGGCGGCCTGGCCTTGGCCCCCTGGCCCTGCTCTTGGCCCTGCGTGGATTTGGAGACCCCTTGCCTGGCCAGGCCAGCCGGGCTGCGTCCCTGGGCTCCTTGCTCCCCACCCGCGCCAGGAATGCCTATGCCAAACGGAGCCAGAGAGGCTGACCTGGGGCCCCGTCCTGACCCTCACAGAGCCTTTGATCACAGAGCCGAGTTGTGGTCGGCCATTCCTGCTCCATCCCTGGGGCAGGGTCCCAGTTCACTCCTCTGAGAGATCAGAGTGAGGAGAGCGAGGTGGGAGAAGTCTCTTTGATGCCCTTCCTTTCCTCTCTCCTGCCCCCACCAGCTGGCTGCCAGCTGATCCCAGCAGTGATGCCAACTGACAACTGAGGTGTGGGCCAGCCGGGGCCTTAGGGTGACCCTCCAGGGCATTTGCTTTTAAATGGACGCAAGTGGGGAGAGCTGTGCTGGGGGAACACCAGGAAGGGCTGACGCTGGGGGCATGGGCTGGCCGATCATTACATGTCCAGGGCCCGAGACTGGGGCAGCCCCGCGGTGGGGGCCCTGGGCCATCACTGCCCAGCCTTTTCCCCCTGCCCCGAGGGTGACCGAGTGAAGGTCGGCCCATCCCCTGCCCCCCTGCCCCGGCCGCTGCCGCCTCCCAGCTGCCCGGGTCACAGGCAGCACCTACCAGCACTGCTCCGCTGGATGGTTGTGGACCACGTGGATGATGCGGCCGGGGGGGTAGAGGGGAGTGCTGGCCGACAGGGCGATGGTCAGGTCGCTGGGGTGAGTCCAGAGCCGCGTGCTGGCCAGCGTGGTCACCTCCACCTCCTCGGGCAGCTCTGACTTGGGGATGCATTTGGTGGCCCCCACAATGATTCGCCACTGTGGGGACAGGGGGAGGGGGGGTCAGGCCTGAGCAGCGCTGGCCAGCTGGGGAAGTGCTCAGAAGGAGGGCTCACAGGGACGGGGGAGCTGGGAGGGGGCAGGGGAAGGGCAGCGCTCAGAGAAGAGGCCGGGGCTGGAGTGCTTGGCGGCCACAATGGCCAAAAGGTGCCAGGGACAGCTGGCGTGGGATGGCTGGATTTTGGGACTGCAAGACCAGTCAACCCCTTGTGGAGTGACGGGAAACAGGCCCAGCGAAGGAAGGGGACTTGCTCTAGGCTGTAAGTCAGAGGCAGAATAGACCGTGAAGCTCAGCTCAGCTGCACCCACTTGGCCAGGTCAGCGTCAGGTGCCCCCACTGCCTCCTGGGCCAGACGAGCGCCTGGGAGGGGCAGCTCCACATCCTGGAACCAGGCCCCTCCTAAGGCTCTGTTGCCTGCCCACCCTGGCACCTGGCACCTGGCCCAGCGCCCTGCCTGCTAGAGGGTCCTGGGCACCAAGGCTGGGAATGGTCCCACCTGGGCTGAGGGGTGAGTGGAGAGAGGGCCGGCCTGGGGACACAGAGGCCCTCCCTGCCTCGGGGAGCCTGGCCGCAGCCTGCCCACCCCCAGCCTAGCACGCTGAAGGCCAGCTTGCTACAGGAGGAGCCTCCAGTGTCCCACCCTACACAGGCCTGAGCAAGGGGGTTAGGAAGGGCCGGCTCTCTCCTCTCAGCTGCAGGCAAAATCAGAACCCACTGCCCCCAGGTCCCCTCTGCAGGTGACCTCCAGCCTCCCTAAGCCTGGGGGATCGCGGGGGGCTTTGGAGGAAGACTTCCAGTCACATGGGACCACTGAACCTCGGGACTGCTTTGGCCTGACTGGAGGTGGCTCTGGGCCCAGGGGCCAGGACTCAGGAGTCCTCAGCTCCAGTCCTGACTTTGTTACAACTGTCTGTGTGAGCAAAAGCGAGTCCCTTGCCCACTGTGGGGCTCAGTTTCCCCATCTGCACAAGGACAGACGGGGCGGCTGGGGAGAGTGCAGAGATGCTGAGTCTAAGAGCCTGAGGTCCCCGAAACACCAGCCACACCCCCAGTCTGGCCTCCCGTGGCGGGGGCCGCTGTGCTTTGCGCCGTGGGACCCATGGGCCAGGAGGAGGTCGGGGAGACCAGAGCCCTGGCTGCCCAGGCGGGAGAGAGGGGAGCGAGCTCACTTTGGGCTTGGTGCTTCGTTGCAGGACATCCAGGAGCTGTCTGCGGAAGCCTTCCAGCTGGGAGAGGCCGATCCTGGGGGAGAGAGCAAGATGGAACATCAGCCGGGGCTGGCCAGGGATGGGGAGGTGGGGGTGAGGGGCAGCTGGAGCCCCAGGAACAAGGGGACCGGTCCATCAGTGTCACGGGGTGGGTGGAGCAGGGCCTGCAGCTCAGCAGGGCCCAGCCAGGAAGCGGGGCCAGGGAGGGCGGTGGGGCAGGCCGGGCTCACCCTCTCCTCTCACCCTGGACATGAGTGAGGGGGATTCTGGGGTCCCTCGAAGAGGTGGGAATCTCAGTGAGAAAGATGGGCCTCCTGGGTGAGGGCTGAGGGGGAGGACAGCCCAGACCAGGCCGGGGGAGAGAGGGACCCACTTGCCTGGGAACAAGGTCTTTGCCCAGAACCACAGCCGTCACAAACTCCTTGGAGTACTCCATGGCGTCCTCGCTGCAAGGAAAGCCAAGGGGTGCTAAGGCCGCGGAGGGGTGCAGTGTGTCCCCGGGGGGCTCTGCTCCAGCACTCCTGGAGGCAGTCTCTTGACTCGAGACCCTCTGGGGGGAGACTTCCCTGGTGGTCTGGTGGCTAGGACTCCACGCTCCCAAGGCAGGGGGCCTGGGTTTGATCCCTGGTCAGGGAACTAGGTCCCACAAACGGCAACTACAAAGATCTCACAGGCCACAAGGAAGAGCAAAGACCTCGAGTGCCACACCTAAGACTTGGCACAGCCAAAGAAAGAAATTAAAAGAAAAAAAGACCCCGTGGGGAGTGGGGCTGGGGTCCCTGCCCCGCCTACCCTGTCAGCAACTCTTTGCTGGGGCTGGATCCCAGGGTGGGCCTGATATTTGACAGAGCACCTACTTCCACCCTCCAGGCCATCCCTAGATTCCCTGATGACCAGATACCAGTCTGCCCAGTGCAGCCCCCGGCCCAAGCCAGCTCCCCCCACCGTCCACCCTTTGCCTTACCAGCCCGAGCCAAGTCTGGGGCCCTGGACCGCTTACCTCAGCAGGCCCCCTGGGGGGGAGTAGGCAAAGCACTTGAGGGTTGGGTACTGGGGTCTCAGGAGGAAGGAGAGGATGGCGGCAGTGCCCGCGCCCAGGGAGTGGCCCACCACAATCAGGCCGTAGTGTTTGGTTCCGCGGCCCTGGGGGCAGAGAGAAGCCCTGAGACGCCTGAGCTGCTGCTGCCAGGCTGACCCCAGGGAGGCAGAGGTGCTCCCCAGAGCCCTGGGATCACGTCTGCGTTGTGTTGGGCAGGGGAAGAGCCAAGCTAGACACCCAAAGAGCAACTTCTCAGACTATTTAACAAACTCCTACTCATCCTTCAAAACCTTGCACAGAGGCGACCTCCTTGGAGAAGCCCTTCCTGACTTTCCAGGATTCGCCTGCACCTGGGATTGTTGCTGTTGTTCAGTCAGTAAGTCGTGTCTGACTCTTTGCGACCCCATGGGCTGTAGCCCGCCAGGCTCCTCTATCCCTGGGGTTTCCTAGGCAAGAATACTGGAGTGGGTAGCCATTTCCTTCTCCAGGGGATCTTCTTGACCCAGGGATCGAACCTGGGTCTCCTGCATTGGCAGGTGGATCCTTTACCTCTGAGCCACCAGAGAAGCCTGCACCCAGGACAGACCTTTATATGGGTGATTATGCTCTATTATGACCATGTGGTCACCTGCTCCCATCCCTGGACCTGCTCCCAACAGCTGGACCAGGTCTCCTGAGCCCAGGGACGGCTTGACTGTGGGAAGGGCAGTTGGGAGCCTCTTGGGAGCTGCCTGCCTGCACAGGGAGGGGTGGGCAGTGGGCCGGGCCCAGATCACCCCATCCACAGCAGCACCCCTTCTATCTGCTTTGCAATCACGTTCTATGTTCTTTCTGCTCAGCATCTCAGAAGCTCCGGACCTGAGCCACCTTTGTGCCTCAGCTGCCTGGCACCGAGCAGGTGCCCACCACCCGGTGGGGCCAAGCAGAGGTGTCCAAGAGGAGCTGGTACAAAAGAAGAAAGGGCCAGAGGGGGTGGGAGGGATGGAGCAGTGAGGAGAGGGCTGGGGGCCTGGGATGGAAGGAGAGTGTCCGAGTCTGGCTTGTGGGGGGCGGGCAGGGGTGCATCATCATTCACCCATTCTGTCCCCAACCTGTCGTCTTGCGGGAGGGCTTGCAGTATGAAAAACCCCTCACCAGGTCTCGCCCGAAGGCCTGGGACAGGACCATCTCCTGCTCCAGCTTCTTCTTGATGTACTCGGCCGAGAGGACCATCCCCTGGGTGAGGAGGGACAAAGGTGGGTGTCACTATCATGGGGAGGCAGGGGGGCCCGTCAGGGACCAGTGAGGTCAGTGATGTGAAGCTCACCAACCCCATCCCACCCACGTCCCCCTTAGGTCCTCAGGACAACCTGGCGGTGGCGGGGGGGATGGAGGGTGGGCTGGTGGACACTTGATCACATTATTTCCATTTCACAGATGAGAAAACTGAGGCTCAGAGGGATTGTGGGTCTAAGAGGGACCAGTGAGATCCCTTCTCCATTGCCTCCTTGAGCTCTCTCTTGTGGGGAAGGGTCTGGGCTGCACAGGGCTGCGGGGTTCCCAGCCGGTGGGGGGCAGTGGACCTTCCAGACTGATCCACACCGCTCTGACCATCTCTCTTGGTGAGAGGAGTGACTCCCGAGGAGCCCCCGCCCCAACCGCGGGCCAGGCCTGCCTGCTGGCAGCAGACAGAAGCCTGGGGGCCACTGGGAGCCCACGAGAGGAGGGGGGTACCTTATGTCCCAGCCAGGTGCCATGGTGGCCCTCCACGGGGAGGCGCTCGGCGTCACCAGTCAGGTCTGTCAGGGCGTCCTAGGGGGCAGGGAGGACGGTGAGGCGTGGGGCTGAGAACAGGGAGAAGGAGGTGGGTGCCCCCCAGGGGCTATGAGGGAGCCTGGGGGGCGGGCAGGGTCACTGGGCGGCGTACCTTGGGGGACAGCGTTCCCCGGATACTGATCACCACCTTCTTCTTGTCGTGGTCCACTGCCACGTAGAAGGGGGTTTCATAGACCTGTGAGAAGGGCAGCTCGTGAGCCTCAGTGGCCCCTGGGCTGGGGCCAGATGTGGGGAAGTGACGGAAGCAGGTTTCCTTCGGGGCCCAGGAGTCTGGCTCCACTGGCCCCTGAGGCCTGCAAGGGTCACAGTAGGTCCCTCCCAGCCCAGCACCCAGCCTGCCCTGCCCTCCCACCTCTGCTGACTCGGGCGCCCTGAGTACAAGGTCCTGCCTGCCCGGTCCGAGGGGCTGCCCTCTCCCCTCCTGAGTGCCTCTCCGTGTCCCTCAATTCCTTCCCCCCAAGGCTGGAGCCAGGAAGCCGCAACAGCGGGTGCAGGGCTGGGGTCCACATCTGAGCCCGAGTGGGCCCAGGCCAGGATGTGAGGAGAAGGAGGCAGCCCAGCTCTGGCTTGCCCACCTAGGGGAGCCATGCCAGCCAGGCCAAAGGCTCCTGCCCCTGCGCAGGACCCAGGCTGCAGGAGGCTGCGCACCAGCCCGCCTGGACCCTCACCGCGTCGTGGCAGGAGGTGTAGACGATGTCCACTGCGGTCATGTTCTCGTCCAGGAAGTGGCGTCGAATGGCGATGGCGTTGCAGCCGCAGCAGTTGTCTTCCTCGATGGTGACTCCGGGGGCGAACCGGGGCCGGGCAGGACACAAGCAGCACCTGGGCGGGGGGCAGAGGGCTCAGAGCCCGGGACCCTGATGGAGCCACGGTCTCCCCCATCCCCTCGGGAACCTGTTCTTGCAGCCAGCCCCATGCCCTCTCTGAAAGCCTCCCTTGCAAAGCTCTCCAGTCCGTTCCCCAGGCCTCGCCTTATTCGGCCTCTTGACAACACATGACCCAGGGGCCTCTCCCGCCCCGCTTCGCTCTCTCCATCTGGCAGAGGCACACCCCCTCCTGGGCTGCTTCTCGTCCGTGTCTTCTCACTGAGACCAGAGGTCATCCCTGGACCTACTCTTCTTTCCAATGACACGAGCTCCCGGGGCCTTACCCAGTCTTGGGCTTTAAATACCACCTGAGTGCCAAAGAGCCCCCCAGACCCTGCTCACATTCAACTGCCCATGAAAAGCCTCCTCCCAGATATGCCCCAGGATTGCAGTCCTCTCAGCTCCAGATCCCAAGGGCCCAGCCCCTTGCTTCAACAGTCCCCCTAACCCTACCCTGCCCCTGAGCATTCAGCCCCCGCTTAGAACCACCGGGTCCTCAACCCACCTCATATCCCATATTGTCCGTCAGCACATCCATTAGCTGTGCCTTCAAATTCACATCCAGATGCCAAATGCTTTCCCTCACCTCTCCCCACCCCCCCGCCCCGCTCCAAGCCACCTTATCCCTGCCTCCCTGCCTCAGAGTGTCACGGGGGCTCCCAACTGGTCCTCCTCATTCACAGCCGCCCCTTACGTTCTCAGCCAGAGTGACCTTCTATGATAAAAGATGAGGCGGCGTCCCTGGTGGCTCAGTGGTAAAGAATCTGCCTGCCAATGCGGGAGACATGGGTTCGATCCCTGGTCTGGGAAGATCCCACATGTGTTGGACCAGCTAAGCCCATGCATGAGCCGCAACTATTGAGCCTGTGCTCTAGAGCCTGGGGATTGCAACCATCGAGCCCACGCTCCGCAACAAGAGAAGCCACTGCAGTGAGAAGCTTGCACATAGCAAGCAAGAGTAGCCCCCACTCTCCACAGCTACAGAAAAGCCCGTGCAGCAACTAAGACCCAGCACAGCCAAAAATAAAAAAGTTATTTTTTAAAAAAGATATAAGATGAGCCTCATCACTGCACTCAACACCTTCCAATGCTGCCCTTCCTGCCCAGTGTAAAGGCCAGAGTCCGAGCAAGCGCTGAGGGCCGAGCTCCATCTGGCCCCGTTCTCTGGCCTGTTGCCTCCCACTCCTCTCCGATGCACTGGTCATTCCTGCCTCAGCATCTCTGCACTGCGGTTCCCTCTGCCTGGAACATTCTCCTCCTGGACACTGTGTGGCCGGATCCCTCACTTCTTGAGGCCTCTGTGCAAAGTTTATACTGCTGTGAGATCCGCCTGGGGCCATCTCATATGACAGCTACCCCTTGCCCAGTGTTCCCCAGTTTGACCACACAGTCAGCTCAATTTTTCTCCAAAATACTCCTGCATTTCCTTGTCTGTGCCTCCCCAGCACCAAAAACACAGTTGTTGCTCAGTCGTTCAGTCGTGTGTGACTATAGCACGCCAGGCTTCCCTGTCCTTCACAATCTCTCGCAGTTTGCTCAAACTCATGTCCACTTGAGTCGATGATACCATCCAACCATCTCATCCTCTGTTGCCCCTTTCTCCTCCTACCCTCCTCAGTCTTTCCTAGCATCAGCGTGTTTTCCAATGAGTCGGCTCTTCACACCAGGTGGCCAAAGTATTGGAGCTTCAGCTTCAGCAGCAGTCTTTCCAATGAATATACAGAGCTGATTTCCTTTAGGAGTGACTGGTTTGATCTCCTTGCAGTCCACGGGACTCTCAAGAGTCTTCTCCAGCACCACAGTTCAAAAGCATCAGTTCTTCGGCACTCAGCCTTCTTTATGGTCGAACTCTCACATCCATACATGACTACTGGAAATACCATAGTCAAAGCTATGGACCTTTGTCGGCAAAGTGATGTCTCTGCTTTGTAATACTTTGTCTAGGTTTGTATAGCTTTTTTTCTAAGGATCAATTGCCTTTTAATTTCATGGCTGTAGTCACAGTCAGTAGTGATTTTGGAGCTGAAGAAAATAAAGTCTGCCTCTATTTCCATTTTCCCATCTATTTGCCATGAAGTGATGGAACCAGATGCCATGATCTTAGTTTTTTGAATGTTGAGTTTTAAGCCAGCTTTTCCACCCTCCTCTTTAACCTTCATCAATAGGCTCTTTAGTTCTTCTTCACTTTCTGCCATAAGGGTGGTATCATCTGCATATCTGAGGTTACTGATATTTCTCCTGGCAATCTTGATTCCAGCTTGCACTTCATCCAGCCCAGCATTTTGCATGATGTACTCAGCATATCAGTTAAATAAATAGGGTGACAATATACAGCCTTGACATAGTTCTTTCCCAATCTGGAACCAGTCCATTGTTCCATGTCCAGTTCTAACTGTTGCTTCTTGACCTGCATACAGGTTTCTTAAGAGGCAAGTAAGGTGGTCTGGTATTCCCATCTCTTGAAGAATTTTCCACAGTTTCTTGTGATCCACATAATCAAAGGCTTTAGTGTAGTCAATGAAGCAGATTTTTTTTAAAAATTCTCTTACTTTTTCTATGATCCAGAAGATGTTGGCAATTTGATCTCTGGTTCCTCTGCCTTTTCTAAATCCAGCTTGTACACCTGGAAGTTCTCAGTTTACACACTGTTGAAGCATAGTTTGAACGATTTTGAGTATTGCCTTGCTAGCATGTGAAATAAGTGCAATAGTGGGGTAGTTTGAACATTCTTTGGCATTGCCCACAACACAGTTGCTGCTAAGCTGCTAAGTCGTTTCAGTCGTGTCCGACTCTGTGCAACCCCAGAGACAGCAGCCCACCAGGCTCTGCCATCCCTGGGATTCACTAGGCAAGAGTACTGGAGTGGGTTGCCATTTCCTTCTCCACAACACAGTAGGCTCCCCAAAAATGAATGGGTGAGCTGCTGAGCAGGGTGCCCATCGTGGGTGCAGTTACTCCTTGGGCCACCAGAGGGAGCTAGCACCCAACATATGGGGCTCAGGGAACCAGAAAGCATGTGACCCAAATCTGCCGGCTTTCCTGGTACTGTTCAGTCGCTCAGTTGTGTCTGACTCTGCGACCCCATGGACTGCAGCACGCCAGGCTTCCCTGTCCTTCACCATCTCCTAGAGCTTGCTCAAACTCGTCCATCGAGTCCGTGATGCCATCCAACCATCTCATCCTCTGTCGTCCACTTCTCCTCCTGCCTTCAATCCTGCCCAGCATCAAGGTCTTTCTAATGAGTTGGCTCTTTGTATCAGGTGGCCAAAGTATTGGAGCTTCAGCATCAGTCCTTCCAATGAATATTCAGGGCTGATTTCCTTTAGGATTGACTGGTTTGATCTCCGTGCAGTCCAAGGAACTCTCAAGAGTCTTCTCCAACACCACAGTTCAAAAGCATCAATTCTTCAGCGCTCAGCCTTTTTTATGGTCCAACGCTCGCATCCATACATGACTACTGGAAAAACCATAGCTTTGACTAGATGGACCTTTGTTGGCACAGTAATATCTCTACTTTTTAATATGCTGTCTAGGTTTATCATAGCTTTTCTTCCAAGGAGCAAGCATTTTTTATTTCATGGCTGCAGTCACCATCTGCTTTCCTGATTTGATGGCTAAGATTTTACTAAGAATCCTAGATTTAGGTGATGTGGAGAGGTCTGTCTTCACTGCAGCAGCCCCTGGGGGACTGATGCAGACCTCCCAACGGAAAGAGGCTTCCACGGGAAAACCCAGGGTCAAGCCACGTCTTGGAAGTGAATGGGTCTGGGGTGGGCAACCACCTCCATTTGCTCCGGGAGACCCCTACTCCCTCCCCTGCCACTACTGGTCCAAATGGACACAGCTCTGGGTCTGTGGGCCAGGCACTCGTTTTCAGGCAGCTAGCACTCCTCTCCGACCTCAGCCTGGCTCCCCAGCACTGAGCATGTGACTGCCACGGTGTGGCCTGGGGAGACAGAGGCCCGGGCTGGAATCCTTGCTCCGGTGGCCCTTCCTGTCTGCGATGGCCTGGCGGGGGGGGGGGGCAGGTGCCAAGAGCTACTTCACAAGGCTGGGGTGAGATCAGAGGCCCAAGATGCACAAAGAGCCTGGCACACAGTAGGCACCAGGGAGACAGCAGCCCCCGAGTCAGTGATCTGGGGGCCTGGGGAACCACGAGAGCGGCAGGGCCAGCAGCCTGGGAGGGAAGGGCCCATGGCACCTTTGAGGCCAGCACTCCCACCTAGAAGAGGCTGGGTGCTGAGGGGCTCAGAGGCTGCGGGAGCCCTGAGCATTTGCTTGGCCTTTGGCAGGGCCTCTCCTGCCCACAGGAGACCAACCACACGTCCAGGGCAGGGCTGGATCTGAATGGGGTGTCCCCAGGGTTGGGGGGTGGCGCATAGGTATGCCTGGCTTGCCTCGCTCTGCATGGGACGGGAAAACAACTCCAGGTGACAGGCCTGGGCCTGAGGCAGGTGGGCAGTTCTTCCTCTAGCCTGTGCTGGGAACCTGGGCTGCTGTGGACAGGCTGGGCTCAGAGAAGGGAGCCCTACTCTCTGGGCTATAGGCTGGGACTTCGGGCCTGCCTCTCCTCCGCCCTCCAGGCACCTGGCTCTTCTCGGCAGGGACCCAGCTGGGCCCTCACGGGTCTGAGGTCTTTCTGCTGCCTCTCCTGGCAGCTCTGATAAGCTGATATGAATGCAGCCTTGCCCCTGTTGGCAGAGCCCCTCAGATGCCCAGACCGCCAGGGACACCACCTCCCTCCCAGCTTCTGAAAGATCCCACCGGTGGGAGAGGCAGACCCTGCCTGTGCAAATGTCGTTCCTACCCTGCCAGTGAGTAAGGAGTGTAAGTAAGTAAGTGAGAAAGCCCTGCCAGGGCTGTGGGAGCCCGGGTCTCAGAACTCCTGGTGCTGGGCTCATTCCGAGGACCTCTCAGTGGCCGCAGGGTTCCCAAGGATGCTGTCTGTGGGCTGGCAGAGATAGGGAGGGGCGTGGGGTGCCCTGGTCGGCTCTATCAGTCAACTGGGGGATGGTGACGACAACCCAAAGAGCCCCCCTGCTTTCTGGGGAAAGGACACTGAAGGACGGGGTGGCTGCTGTGGGCCCCGAGGGTAGGGGTGTGGTGGACAGAAGCTGCCCGCCCAGCATGCCAGCCTGTCTGTAACAGGGAACCCGGGAAACCATCCTCCTTCTGCCAGGCCTGGGAAGAAGGTGGAGATGCCAGAGAAGGGGAGGGGCCCTCACGGAGCCAAGCCCTCCTCTGGCCCACTTAGGAAAGCAGGGTCCACCCTGGCCACCCCCCGCAGTTGGCCAAGGGCGGCACCCAGTGAGGTCTTGCCAACTCCTTGTGAAGAGGATTGGAGCCATTCACAAAGGGCCTTCTTGCTGCCTTTCCAGAGGTTTCTTCGGATTGGGCCTCTACCCAGAAAGGCCTTTCTTCCAGAAAGGCAGAGCACAGGAGGGGAGTCAGGAGAAGGGAGGATGTGGGCAGAGGGGAGTGGTCGAGAGAGGCAGGGAGGGAGATGGGGGGTGGGGGGAAGGAAGCGGCAAGCCAGCCAGATGCTGGGTTCATTTCAGCCTCTCAGAACAGCTCTGGGAGGTATGTATTACCATCCCCATTTCACAGATGGAAACTGAGGCTTGCAGAGGTATGCTGACTTCCCTGACTCTGAAAATGACAAAGTATGGGTTCAAACCCACGAAGTGTGATTCCAAAACCCCAGCCAGGATAATGCAGAACCAGAAAGGTCCTGGCCCAGAGATGGTGCAGAAGTGCAGCGGTGTGGGCCGAAGGGGGCACGGTAGTAGGTCCAGTCCATTTAGGGAGGCCCCGCCCCACCATGGGTGGCCCGGCATTGTGACCTCAGCCCTTCTGCACTCGTCACTGGCGGGGATCGGGGAAGGGCTGGGGTACTCACGAGCAGGACCGGGCCAGCTGGCAGAGGCCGCAGGCGGGTTTCCGCATCAGGTACATGGGCCAGCCGTAGGCAGCCAGGGCAAAGAGCATGTAATAGCAGACCTCCTTATAGCGGAGCATCTCGTGCTGGAAGAGATGCAGAGGAAGGTTACCTCCTGCCCTTCCCGCCTGTAGCCTCGCCTGTAGCCTCGGAGGCGATGGAGGCGGGAGCTGCCCTCCCCACAGGCAGCAGACCATGCCACCCCCACCCCGAGTGGAGGAGGGAACACGCCTCCAGATGATAATTGCATTTCCCTAATTATCTGCATGCAACCAGGGCACAAAACCTCCCGAGACCTGTCCTGTTGCTCCAATCTCAGAATTAATGATTTGGGGACAGAAAAACACTCAGAGCACTGGATCGATTTCCGTGCCGGTTTCCCAAGAAGAGGAGAGGGGGAGGTGAGAGCCACAATCACCCGCCTTGGCCATCAGGCCCGGGAAGGGCAATTGAACCCCAAGAGGTCTGGACCCTCCCCTCTGGAGCAGGATGCCCAGGCCAGAAGCAGCAGAGCCGGCCCTGAAGATGCAGACCTGCTGGGGACCCAATCACCCCGGCCGTGCTCTGCATTCAGGGAGACCCTGGCTTGACTCAAGGGCGTCTGGGGCAGTCGGGATCGTTCTGAGAAAGGCTCTGGTTTGAAAGCCGGCGTCTGAGGCCGGTGGCTGCTGTTATCAGCCAGACTGCCCAGGGAGGCAGTCAGGAGGCACACGTGTCCCAGGGAAGCCGTTTCTCCCCAGTCCTGGGCGCCCCAGGCACCGGGGGACTCCTGCACTTAGAGGGAATTAGTCACCTTGTAAAAGTTAAAGACGGTGATTAGTCATCTCGTGAAGTGAAATAAGCAGGACTTTAATCAGGGCCCAGAGGGATGGAACCGTCCCGGGCCGCTGGGTCTGCTCTTCAGGAAGGCGCAGAAGGAGGTAATTAACCTCTGGCTCACGCCTGGAGGGCGGGGCGCTGGCACCTGGGGGCTCGGCGGGGCCCCACCCCCGCCCCGCCCCTCCGCAGGGGAGAGCGAGCCGGGCGGGCATCCCCGAAGGAGGCGGGGACCTGCAAGCCGGGGGGCCTGCTGTGGAGGGGCTGTTTGGAGAAGGGATGCAACCCCCGCCCGCTTTAGGGAGCGGGGCGGGGGGGCCGATGGAGAACCGGCGTTTCCAGGTGAGTCAGATGTGAAGGCCGAATCCTTTCTAACGCTGTCCTTACGGGCACCAGAGTTCACTCATCCCCCTCCCCACCAGGGCTCTCGGGGGAAGGCAGGCCCAGCACCGCTTCCGCTTCGGGAATAGGCTCAGCCGGGTCAGGGACTCGCTCAAGGTCACAGCCCCCGGCGGGGAGCCCCACAATAAACCTGTTTGCTCCCAGCGCAGGGGCCGCTCTCTGGCTGCAGTTCCAGCCCTGGGGGAGGGGCTCCCCTAGCCTAGGACCAGCCCCCCCTTCACTGGGACACCCAACGCCAGAGTTTCTACTAAAGGCGCTTAGGACCAGCCCCCCCTTCACTGGGACACCCAACGCCAGAGTTTCTACTAAAGGCGCCTAGGACCAGCCCTCCCTTCACTGGGACACCCAACGCCAGAGTTTCTACTAAAGGCGCTTGAGAAGAGCTCCTGCTACTCAAAAAAAAAAAAAAAACCCTTGGAAACCAAGTTTTACGTCTTGCTGCCTTTTATAACAATAACAACCGTGGCAAAAATAACAGCAGCTCAGCCCCTGGAAGGACTTGACAATCTCAGGAGGCCAGGGCCAAACATTCTGAGCACAGTGGAACCGATTCAGGGGGCTTGCCTGTAGAACCAGACAGATGTGGAGGGAGGCAGGTCAGGGTGCGCTTGGGAGGAAGGGGGCTGCTTGGAGGGCCGAGGCGGGACCCACAGCGGAGCAGGTGCAACCGGTGCCTCAAGGGCCGCGGGCAGGTGGTCTGCTCGGGTCAGCCCAGCAGAGGGAGAGAGGGAGAGAGGGAGAGAGGGACCTGGGACGTGGTGGGGGTGGTCCTGACTCACCGAGTTCTTGAGGTCGAGGTACTTAGTGTTTCTGGTCACCGGCATGCCAGACAGGAAGGCCAGGATGTCGTTGTTGGCCTGCAAGACAGGCGCGTGAGGGTGGCTGCCCAGGGCCCAGCCTGAGAAAGGGGTCCAGGCCCCGGCTCTGCACTCTGCCTGCCTCCCAAGGGCCTGAGAACCCAAAGAGGTGTGTGGTTTCTAGCTCTTCCACGACTGGGCCCGCTTTCCAAATCTGAGGTCTCCTCATATATCCAGTTCCTTCTCTTCCACCCAAAGCATCCATGCTAGGGGAGGGAGCTGGCCCAGGGCCAGGAGAAAACATTTTATACAAGATGCTGCGAGACCCTAGCTAGGATTGGCGAGTTGCAGGTGGGGCGGGTGATGAGGCAAGCTTCGAAGGCTGGAGCACAGCGCTGGTTGGGTCATGGGGCCGCTGTGGTTAGACGGTAGATGGGGGTAGACAGCCTCTGGGCCCTGCAGAAGGAAGCAGCTCGAGCAGGTGCCCTGGGCGGCTGGCTGAGGGTGAGCTGGGGAAGGGAGGGGAGCGTGGAACCTGGGGGCAGCAGGGACGGCCTCGGCAGAGGGCACTGTAGGGACGTGATTCGCGCGTGGGCTCACCTCGTCTAGCACGGCATTGCGCTTGGCCCGCTGCCGCTGCCGGAGCAGCACCAGGCCAGCGATGATGTCTGATGGCACGATGTCCAGGTCTCGGAAAAACTCGGCAAAGAGGTAGGCAATTTCCGAGTAGGCGTCCTACGTGGTCCGGGGAGGCGGCGGGGGGCGGTGGCAGGGAGCAGGAGAGAGGACAGAGGCCGGGCGTGAATGTCCGGGGATGGGCGTCCGCTCTGGGTCCCTCTGCAGGGACCCTTCTCTGGCCCCCCCTTCCCAGCCCTCCTGTCCTTGGCGCTCCTTCGGCACTCAGGCACCAGCCTGACGCCCCCAAGCCATTTCCTGCTCCAGGACTAGGACCAAGGCCTGCAGGCCCGGCCTGTTTCTCCTTCCGCCCTTCTCTCCCTCCAGCAGAGGAGCCAAAACTGAGCTCCTGGCTGCTTTTCTCCACGCTGTTTCTTCCCGCCTCCCTCCAGCTGTGACCCTGAATGGCCCGCCAAGGGCCCTTTGGAGCCCAGGGTCTCAGGCCCCCTCCCCCTCCTGCCCACAGCTGGAGGCGCAGGGACCCCCACCATGAGCCTGGACAAGAGGCAGGACACCCGTGCTTGGGGCCAGGGCTTCGGGGGAGGTCGTGAGGACAGAGGCAGCCCCGCCAGTCCTGTGCAGAGGCCTGTCTGCCTCCCGACAAGTGGAAGCCTGGAACCTCTTCCCTAACCTGTCAGGAGAGGCTGTGGTGGGAACAGACTCATGGCAACCAGCTTTCTCCTGCTGGGTTTCGCCCCTCAGTGTCTGGCACTTGTGAGAGAAGAAAAATCAAGGGCTGCAAACTCAAACGCCTAATGCAAGGGCCGAATCTAGAAATACTGAACTCGACACAAACGCCCCCGATTTTTAAATCCTGGCATCCAGTGCAAATGTTTGAGCAACACAGCATGAGCTGATCAAAACTCTGGGCGGGACCTGACCTGACCTGACCTGACCACCATCAGTGTCTGGTGGGACCCAGCTTCTGGGGACGCCCCCCTGCCTTTTTTGAGAAAAGACTTCAGCCTTTTCCCCAGGGTCCAACACCAGCCCCCAATCTGCCTGCCAGGAGGGGTGGGTGTGCCCTGGATGAGACCCCGCCCAGAGAGCCCCGTGGGGGGTGCTTCCCACCCACCAGGGAACCTCGGGGTGGGCGGGGCTTTCTCACACTCCATTACTCACTCTATGGTTCAGCAGGGGCTGCGGGTGGGTAGGAGCCACTGGAGGCTTTTCCGGTGGCTTCCATGGAGGGCACTCGCTGTCTGGCTCGGGCAGGAGTGGTCTCCTGACCTCACTGGCTCTGCCACTACCTAGCTGTGGGACGTTGAGCAAGTCACTCCACCTCTCTGGACCTCAGTTGCCTGATCTGCAAAATGAGGGGTGGGGCTAGATGATCCCTAAGGACCCTGCCAGCACTGCAGGGGGTGCTCCACTGGGGGGCGCTCCACGGAGGGCTCCCCAGGGCCCTGCCTCCCCTCCCCCACCCGGGGGCCACCCACTGCTGACCCACCTTCCTTCTGCAGCGCCCTAGTGGGTGCAGAGGACAGCGAGGGCCGCACTGACCACATGGCTGCTGATCTTACAGGACTTGCAGCTGGATGTGGTTTAGTCTGACTGTTTTGTGACCCCATAGACTGTAGCCCGCCAGGCTCCTCTGTCCATGGGATTCTCTAGGCAAGAACACTGGAGTGGGTTGCCATGCCCTCCTCCAGGGGATCTTCCCGACCCAGGGATCGAACCCATGTCCCTTGCATTGGCAGGCGGATTCTTTACCACTGAGCCACCAGAGAAGCCCTTGTGGCTGGTGAGATGCTGCTTGCTTTGCTTCATCTTCAGGTCACCCTGATACTTGAGTACCTCTTCTCCTAGACTCATCTCTAAGTTCCAAGGGGGTCAGTAAAAGGTCTTCCCATTTTTCTGTCCCTTGACAAAGGAAGGGAAGGGCTGTTTCACACGTAGGAGGGAGTCGGGCGGTGAAGAACAACAGGTCGCCTGAGGAGCAGGCTGTAACCTCCGGTCCTGCTCGAAGCCCAGCCCCACCCCACCCGGCAGAGACGAGGACCTGAGCCCCGGGGCGGCGACTTCCCAGTACTTACTGACTGGGAGTCCTTCGTCCGAGTGCAGCAGAGGAACACTTTGAGCCGACGTGACCAGCTGGTGGCCTGACCCTCTTCTAAGCGGTGCCTGCAGTGGGGGAGAGTTGGTATGTGTGAGGTCAGAGGGCTGGACCAGAAGAGCTGGGCCTAGATGTTACAGTAACAGAGCAGCCTGTTCCCAGGACCCCAGCAAAGGGCTCCCCGGCAGGAGGGTCTGGGGGGGCAACAGGCCTGAGACTGGTCAGAGCCGGGTGGCCAGTGAGCTGTCGGCCTGCAGGGCTCTCACTGAGGGGCTCCTGCTGGCCTACGATGGCGTGCTGCTGGCCAGGGCCGGGGCCTGGGCTTCTGGCACAGGGGTGCCAGCACACCCGGGGAGCTTCGGAGCTGGGAGCCCGAACTGGGGGCCGCCCAGAAACCCACTCCAAAGGCTCTAACCAAGGGCCCTGGGAGACAGCGGCAGGGTGCTGGGCCTCCCTGCTGATTTGTTCCACGTTGGGAGCAGATCTGCTGGCCAGACCTGTTCCCCTCTCAGAAAGGATTTCTCTCATCTGGTACTTGGGGAAGCTTAAAGGGCTGAATGAGGTTCAGCATGCTGCAGTGCCTTGGATCCATTATCTTGCAAGGGAGAGGGCCCCTGCCCTTCCCCCGCCTCCACCCACAGCCCCAGTGGGTATGGCTGCTTTGATGGGGCAGCAGGGTACCCAGGAGTCTGCACTCAAAGCGAGAATGATTGGCCGGTTATCCACAGAGACCATTCCAACACTGAGTGTCCAGAGGTCGGCGTGTGTTTTGAGCATAAAGATCACAGATCCAACATTAAAAATGTAAATTTCCAGACTGAGCAAGAGGGGCTGGCTGGCTTTTGTGACATGCGCCCTCCCCGCCAGCCCTTTCAGAGCCTGGTGCTGGGTGGTCAGGAGGGGCAGGCTCTGAATGACCCTGGATGCCTGCAAGGCACTTAGCATCCATCAGGAGTGACAGGCCAGGCGGTCGCTGCCTCCGCCTCCTCTCTGCAGCTAACAGCCGCTTCCTGCTCCCAATCTTGGTGCCACAGCGTTATGGGCCACAAGGTCAGGGGAAGCCACAGCGCCGTCAGAGCGACAGGACGGGGTTAGGAAACAGGGCAAGGGACTTGCTGTTTCTGGAACCTGCCAGCCCTAAGGGACTTGGGCAGCCTCATATCCTAAGCCAAAGTCCCCCCTACTGGGGGCTGGATGAAGGGACAGCATGCCGGCTAAGCTAAGTTCCCAGAGCATCACATTCTTTAACTCTTTCTAACCAAACTGGCGGTCAAACATTCAAAGACAATTTCCTCCCTTCCCTCTGGCAGATTAAGCCCTGTATACTATATTGCAGTACCCTTTATGCCCACCAGGGGGTAGATGGCGCCAACGACAAGTTTGGCCTAATACATCCGTTGGGCTACAGAGACCAAGACACTCGGTCTGGACAGAAAGATCGTGGACCCGGCACCCCTCTGCCCTGGGGCTCACTAAAGCGAAGGGAGGGCAGACACTCTTGCAGAGATCCAAGGTCAGGCCCCCAAGGAGCAGTGGTGGGAAGAACCCATCTCAAATCCTACCAGATTTCACCAGAAGAAGAAAGGACCCAGGACTTGAGCAGCAACCTAACTCCCAGAAACTAAAATAACCCACCGGTGTGGGAGCAGCACGACTTGTGCACAAAACCAAACCTGGAAGCGGATGAAGGGTCAGCAGGCTTGAAAAATGTCCTTGTTAAGAAAAACTTTCTGTTGGTCTAAGAGCAGAGTGAGGGGGCCGGGGGAAGAGTGGGAGAGGTGGTCACAGTAACGCAGTCATGGACGGGGCTGCCCTCTCCAGCCCATCTGAGAGCTGGAGAAACCGCAACAGGTGGGGGTCTAGGAGCCTGAGGCCTCTTACAACCCGAACAGGGTCCGGAAGCGCTGGAAGACTTACTAATTCAGATGACAGCCACCGCCAACACCCCCTCCCTCCCCCACCCCCACTGTAAAGGCATTGGCTGCCCTGGGCCCCAAAGGCAATTATCCAGAGTAGGGGAGGGGAATTTTTTTTTTCCCCCAGGGCCCCAGGAGTCCAGAAACCAGGTCAGGTGGGGGCATGTGCTCGGAATGAGCAAAATGGGACGGGTGGTGGTGGCCAGCTGTGCCGCCGGGACGAACAGCGGGCTCTGGGGCCTTGGCTCCCAGACCTGGCATTTGGGGCTAGGAGGTGGCCAGTCCAGGCGCGGGTGTGGCTCTGGCTGCAGGGCCCAGCTGACGTGGAGGGCCCAGGGGGGCTGGACGGAGGGACATGGGAGGGTGGGGTGGGGGCCCGGGCAACCCACTCCCCTGGGTGAGGGCTCCCAACCTTGCTTCCCTGGGCTGGGGGTGGAGTGCCAGCTCCACTCCCCCACCAACCTGACCCAGGCATGTGGCCTGCCCTCCCTGGGACTCAGACCGCTCATCTGTAGAATGGGTCTCACAGCCGCACCAGGGTTGGCAAAGGGTTGAAACGGACTACCATGGAAGTGCAGGGCCTAACCTGGGACAGAAGCTCGATGAACGGGAGCCACTGTGGCCTACCCTGAAAGCCTCTCTGCTCTTTTTCTTTCAATAAACAGGAACTCTGTGACCGTCCTGGACACCCTGCCTCATTTTCTCTGCCTCCCTCCTTCTCCAAAACACTGTACAAAACATCCCCCCCACTGCAAGAAGCCTTTTGCCTTGGTTAACCTCCTCTAGCCCCCTTAATCCTAGAGGCAGCCTCGCCTAGTGGTTAAGAGTCAGGGCTCTAAGGCCAGACTGTCTGAGCTTGATCCCAGCCCGTTTGCCAGCTGTGCAACCTCAGGCAAGTCACATAACCTCTCTGTGCCCGTCTCCTCATCTGTATTATGGGGATGACACGAACAGCATACGAGCACCTCTGGGCTTGCTTGTCCGAGTGCTTCCTACTATTACTGTCATGTTTTCAGTCCCGAAGATGATCTGAGCACGAAGCTCCCGTGAGCGCCCGTGTTCATTACTCTGATAAACCTCACAGCAGCTGCATGAGGCAGAAATGATTGCGTTCCCACTTTACAGACCAGGAAACTGAGGTAAGCCTTGGGCCAGCACTTGGGACTCACACAGGTTGAGATGCAGTGAGGGAGGCGCAGGGCCAGCCTCTGTCTTCCCCAGGGTCAGCAAGTCCCACCCTCCTGCCAAGCCCACTGACCGCAGGTTGTAGGTCCGCAGGTTACGCTGCCTCCTCTTGGTGGCCCTCAGCTTGACGAAGGTGCGGCCCGTGGGGTCGAAGACGCAGAGGACCGTGATGCACACGCTCAGGATGACCACCCAGTTGCAGACGACCATCCCTGCGGAGGAGGGGTGGGAAGCCAAGGGGCATGGCACTGGGGACACCTCTCTGAAAGAAAGGGGCACTGGGGCCTCCCTACCTCAAAATGCTTCTGGGGCCCAACAGCCAGACTCCAAAGGCCCCAGCCCCAACCTCCAGCTACATGGCCATCACCTGGCTGAACTGTGACCACCCTCCACCCCCCCATCCTTGGCACAGAGCAGACGGCTATGTGGTTTCCAGAGCCCTGGTCAGCTCTGTGCCTTCTGCTGTGCACCCCCAGACCAGGGCCCCCAAGTGGGGAGACAGCAGTCCTCAGGATGAAGGCTACAGCCTTGCCCAGCCAATCCGTCAGCCAAGCTCACAGAAACTGTTTCAAGGTGTCTCAAGGTGCCTGAGCTTATTGCCCTCTAACCTGGCCCCCGGACCCCCGATCCCAAGGTTAGAGTTAGGGCTGGCTGTGTCCCCTCCACCTCAGGGTTGCATGAGTGCTCAATCACTCATGACTCTTTTGAGATCCCTTGGACTGTAGCCCGCCAGGCTCCTCTGTCCATGGAATGCATTGCTGTTTAGTCACTTCAGTCGTGTCTGAGTCTTTGAGACCCCATGGACTACAGCCAGGCTCCTCTGTCCATGGGATTTCCCAGGCAAAAATAATGGAGTGGGTTGCCATTTCCTGCTCCAAGAGATCTTCCCGACCCAGGGATCAAACCCATGTCTTCTGCAGTGGCAGGTGGATTCTTTTACCACTGAACCATCGGGGAAGCCCCCAACCCAGGGTTAGGGATGCTATATCCCCTCCACCCCAGGACTGCTCTCTCTAACCTGGCCCAGCCCTTCCACCCCAGGCCCGACCAACATACCGAGCGTGACGTTCTTGGCAGTGAGGTCGTTGCAGGAGGTGTAGTACTGGGTGAGCCAGACAATACCCACGATGGCATAGATGAACTCGATCACCAGGATGGCTGCAAGCAGAGCAGGGTCCTGGCTGAAGGACGGGGAGGCCCTGGAACCTGGGCCCGGCTCCTCGGCAGCAAACCACCCACTGCCCCGCTCTCGGGCCTCGAGGTGCAGGGGCCCGGGGAGCGTGGCCATCCCATCCCCTGCTCTGGCTCGCGCGCCCCCAGCCCTGACACTCACTCCCCTGAGAAGGTAACCGCAAAGGTGGATGATGAAGAGGCATTTCCCTGCTCTTTCAGGAGTCAGAGTTGTATCAGTGAACTCTGGGACCAGATGTGGGACTTCCCTGGTGGCTCAGTGGTGAAGAAGCTGCCTGCAATGCAGGAGGCCCAGGTTTGATCCCTGGGCTGGGCAGACCCCCTGGAAGAGGAAATGGCAACCCACTCCAGTACTCTTGCCTGGAGAATCCCATGGACAGAAGAGCCTGGCAGGCTACAGTCCATGGAGTCGCAAAGAGTCGGACACAGCTGAGCGACTAATACTGCATCTTAGGTAAGTTACCTAATCTCTCTGAGCCTCCACTTCCTCCTCTGTAAAATGGGAGTGAGGAGGTCCACAGTTCAGGGCTGTGAGAACTGGAGGACAGGGTGTTCATTTCACAGAAATGGCTGTTCCCGGGGAGGCGGCCTCCAGCACTTGAGGTAACAAGAGGAAAGCGAACCAGCTGCTCAAGGTGCCCTGTCCAGGGCTGAGCCCAGGGCTGACATGGGGTTGGGTGTGGGGAGCAGGGGGGAGGACGGACGCCAGCCCCCACCACCCCAGGGACAGCACTGGAAGCCCCAGCTCCACAGGCAGCCCCTTGTGGCAGCCAAGAGTCCAGGTTTTGGAGTCTGACAGCCTGGGTTCAAATCTCAGCTCTGACACTTGCACACTTGTTAGCTGTGTGACCTTAAGGGAGCTAATTAACCGCCCTGGGCCCCAGATTCTTCATCTGCAAAATGAGACCAACAAAGGGCTCCTCCCTGAGTTAACACAGGAAGAGGGCTAAGCTCAGGCCATGGGAGCACAAGAGTGTGCAGCAGGAGTGACCGGGGGAGGCGGCGGAACCGCCCAGGAGGAGGAGACAGGTGTGTCCTCAGGGAGCTGGTCGAGGCTCCTGAGGGCCCCCAGGACGAGGAGGAGGGGCTGTTTGGGGAAGGATCACGAAGCGACTGAAGAGACACACACAGCCTAGACAGAACAGGGGTCGGCAAGCTTTTTCTATCAAGGGCCAGAGAGTAAATATTTCAGACCTTGTGGGTCATACTCTCCATCACAATGACTCAGCTCTGCCATGGTTGTGCAGAAGCAGCCAGAGGTGGGGAGTACTAAAGGAGTTGAGTGTGGCTGGGTTCCAATAAAACTTTATTAAAAAAAAAAAAAAGACAGCAGGCAGGATGTGGCCCTCAGGCTGCAGTCTGCCCATCCCTGGTCCAGAAGTGGGTGCAGGGAGTCTGCCTGTTCGCGGCTGGCCCTCGGTGCTGGCTGAATGACTGTTAGGCACAGGAGGGGGGTGGGGGTGGGGAGGGCCGGAGTAGCCCCCGCCCACGGCGGGTGGCCCTTACCCAGGCGCACGTAGAGCACGTACTGCATGGATTCACGGGGCTCTGTGTAGAGGATGCCGCCGCGCATGCTCAGCCAGATGATGGCCATCTCGGCGATCATGCAGCTCAGTAAAATGCCCAGGTAGCCGCGGCCGTGGTCCACCAGGTTCAGGGAGCAGGCCTCGTCCGGGTTGTAGACCAGGCCGAAGAGCACCACGGACAGGATCACAAACCTGGGGGAATGTGTACATTAGAGGGGCTAGGCGGCCCCTGGCAGGCGGGCCCGCCCAGCCTGGACTCCAGGATGAAGGGCTTAACTGATCGGGCAGGGGACCACTGTCCGCCAGGCAGCAGGGCCCTCTGAGGACACAGGCGCCCAGGGACAGGGCAGTGGGAGCAGGGAGCCCAGGGCTAGGTCAGCTCCCAGAGTGGCCAGGCAGGGTCTCTGGGCTCTGCGCGGGTATTGCCCTAAAGGGGGTGGATGTTTCAGCGCTGACTCCTGGGACAGGGTCAGGACAGAGGGTCAGAAGGCCTCCCCCAGGCCTGTGACTCCCCCACCCCCAGGCCTGTGCATGGCCCTGAGACTCACCAGGTGGTATGCAGCAGGAAGAGGAAGATGGCTGGCAGGACGAGGTCATCGCTGCCCACAGACCAGCGCCGCCGGAACACCACGATCCCAGGCATGGCTGGCGGCTCTGCGGAGGCTCAGCGGGCCTGGCGCTCACCTCCTGAAACAGAGCAGACAACCCCCAGGTTGCCCGGGCCGCGGTCGCATCCAGGGCCACTGTGCTCCTGGCCAGGCAGGCCCAGCAGCAGGGGCATCCTCCTAGTACAACATCCCCAGGGCTTCAGTCCCATCCCTGGGCAGGACCCACCCCCCACCGTATCCATCGCCCTGGAGCCAGTATGGAAAACCGCAGTAGCCAGACACCGGCTTCAGTCTAACCCCCGAGGACTTGCCTGTCCCCAAGAGTGGCACAGGCCCTTTCAGGTCAGCTCAGCCTGGGGTTACCCCAACAGGAACTGCTAAGCTCCACTAAAGACCTGGGCTTATTCCTGCCCCCCTCCAAGGGATCAGGGCACCCCCACCCACCTATCCAGTGCATGCAGTCCTTGGTGTGGGGTGGGGGGTTCCCAGCCCAAGCCTGAGCCTGTCTCCCGGCATCAGCCAAGCCAGGGAGGTGGAAGGCTAAAGGCGCTGGGGAAGGTGGGGGTGAGCGCATGCGTGGGGCTGGCACTCATGGAGGATGGGAGCACCCAGCACATAGTAGGTGCTCAGTAAATATCTGTTGAGTGAGGTCTGTTTCGTGCTTTGCTAGAATGCCAGGAGGACACTCTATGACCTGATTTTGCACCCATCAGACAGAATCCCCAATCACAGCGACGCCCCTTGGTAGGGAAGGACCTGGTTGAGACGGGGGGTGGGTCAGGAGTGTCACCGGGGTGCCCAGCTTCTCTGCTGGAAGGGCAGTGGGTGAGCCCTGGGGGTATCCCATCCTCCTGGCAGCCACCCTCCACCCTCCACCTGAGCCATGCAGTCTCTACTGCCTGGATCCCAACTCTCCGAAGTAGCTGAATTCAAATTAGCCACAGGGAAGCGTGGGGAGAAGGGCCCAGGAGTCCGGTCCTCCCCTCCCAAGAGCCCCAGGAACCAGGGCAGTGGCGCAGGCCACTGGCTCCCCACAGGGGGCTGGTGGGGAGACACCAGGGAGGGGCTCAGGGTAGCCCCGCGCTCAACTCAACAGAGAAACCCCAGCGACCGGAGACTGGGCGCTGGTGGGCCGCTGCTCCCAGGCTGGCAGAGGCTTACATGGCACCTGGTCCCGGCTGGGTGGCAAGTCCTCCTCTCCCCGGTGACGGCTCCAGGGAAGAAGAGCGTCCGTGGAGACCAGCATCACTCAGCAAGTGGCCAAGTCTCCCCAGCCGGTGGGCACGGCCCTCAGGGTGGGCTAGGGAGTGTGGGGCCAGGTGGCCGGCCCAGCACATCCGGCCCGGCCGGTCTCCGTCGCCCTCTCCCGGGTGCAGCCGCTTCATCCGGCCGCTGCCAGGCTGCTCTCAGCGAGGTGGCGGCCTGGCGGGCGGGCGGGCTAGACTGCCGGGGTCGTGCCTACTCCTCCCCCCACCCTCAGGAAGTGACATCATCCCACTCTCTCCAAGGAGGAGTCGGAGCGCGGAGCGCGGATTCTGGGAAGCGGGAGAAGGATGGAGAGCCCGGCGCTGCGTGGCGGGGCGTCCGGGGGCGGGGGTCTGGGGCCGCGGGAGGCCGGGGCTTCCAGTTGCCTGTCGGGGACGAGGGGCTGACCGCGCCGCCGGCTTCGGTTGGAAGGGACGGGCGGGCGGGGTGGGAGGCGCTGGGACGCCGTGGGCGGCGGCCGGGCTGGGGAGGACGGAGCTGCCAACAGCTGGGATGGCAGCCACCAGCCCCTCCTCGACGCCAGGTGGCCCCCGGAGGACGAGGAGCCGCGTGGGGCTGGGCCCCGGGGGTCCCTCACACACACACATGTGAAACCACTGCGAGGTCCCTGCAGGTGCAGCAGCCGCTCTCAGCAAGCCAGACCCCAGCAGAGGAAGGGGAGGGCTGTCCCAGAGGGGCTGGCAGGCGCTGGCTGCCCTGCCGGGAGCCCAGGACGTCTCGCTTTCAGGGGTACACCCAGTGAACCCTTCTCAACCGCCTCCTCTCCCAGCCCTTCACCTCTTAAAGAGTCTAGAATGGCTCTGGTATAAGTGGGTGGGCGGGGAGCCTGGCACCCATGTAGAGGGGGCCGAAGATCTGTCAAGACCCCTGTAGTGATACGAAAAGTGGCAGCCTCTGCCCCCCCAGCTCGGTGAGGGGAGGAGTGCCCAGCTGACTGCCCGCCGTAGGCACTGACTAGGTCACACCTAGGTCACATGGCAGGGTGGCTGCGGGCTGACCCCGCCGGGGTGCCGGGTAACAGGTCTGGGGACCACACCCCACGACCTCCGAGGCCAGCTCGCCACTGCAGAATCCCAGGTCCAGGGCTGCCTGGCTCCCGACCCTGGTTCCATCACCCACTCACGGTATGACTTACTAGTTGTGCCTCAGTTTCCCCATCTGTAAAATGTCGATGGTCCCCACCTGCTAAGGGTCTGGTGCGGACCATACGAGAGGCCTTGGCAGCGCTGAAAGAAGCCAGCGGCGGTTTTAGGTCAGGAGGGCGAAGCAGAGAGAGAGAGCGTGTGAACCGGGTGGACGAGCTGTCCCTCCCCTGCCTGGGCTAGCGGATTGTCTGGCTGGTCACCACCAGGTCATGGGGGGTGAGGGGGGGTGATGACAGGGCCTGTGCTGCTGTTGGGGGTGGGGGGAGGATGGACCCCGCTACTCCATGCGGATTCATAAATCTCAGGACTGCTATTTTTAAGGGCCTGAAAGACGCCCTTTCTCTCGAGACCCCAGCCCTTCACAATGGGGGCCTGTTCCCCTGCTGGGGATGTGATTTCATCTGGAGGAAATGTCTCAGGATGGGGGAGGGCAGAGGCTACTTCCTGGTCTGGGGAGGCCACAAAGCATCTCCTCTGGCTCTCCTCCCCCAGGGCAAGGGGCCTCAATGGGGCAGGGGGCATCCAGACCAGGGGCACTTCCAGGGGAGGGGCAGTGCCCCCTTCAGGGGGTGCAGAACAGAAGCATTGCTGGGAGCCCCCTATGCTGCTGGCTGGACATCCCCCCCACTGCCCAGGCAGGTGTAAACGCCCAGGATGCTCCCCACACATGGGTGGAATGACTTGAGGGGCACTCTGAGGCCCTTTCTTCCTCCACTCACAAAGCCCAGTTTCCTTGATGGGGATTCAGGCCTTTGATTTAAGTATGAACCATCCTCCGAGTTCCTCTTTCTAAAAATGCTAAACTGTTTTTCAAAAACACAGGCTGACCCTTCCTTTAAAAACCGTCCATGGCTCCAGGGATCAGCAGGATAAAATCCAAGCCTATCAGGCAGCACCTAAGGGCCGCAGCAGCTGGCAGGCAGGCTGTGCAGCCTTGGGCAGGGGCCTTGCCCTCTCTGAGTCCTAGAGCAGGAAGTCACTCCCCAACTCCTAGGGATCCGAGGCACAGACAGGCACAGGGCCGCCTTCTGGCTGGGGAGTCACTCCAGTGCCCCCTCACACTCCCTCACCTTCCTTTCCCAACCCCCAAACTTGTTGCTCCCTTAAAAACACCTCATTGGAATCTGTGCTTTGTTTATCCTAGTTCCTCTGGCAGGCAAAATCCTACTCATCTTTGTAAGCCAACCAAAAGCCAGCCCTCTTTGAAACCCTCCCTGACGGCACCCCCCACACACACCCCTTCTAATGCAGAACAAGCCACTCCCTTATGGGAACCCCTCATCTCAATACCCTGGGCATACTCGCTTACACGTGCTGATTCCTTCTTGCCCATCTCAACGGAGAGTCCTGGGGGGGGGAGGGGAGGGTGCCTGGCAGCACTGCTCTCCTTCACACGCCCACCCCACCCCCCACCCCCAGCTCTTGCCCCTGGAGTGTGAACACAGCCCCTCTCCCCCTGGGCAGCCCTGGCCCTTCCAAACCACTGCTCCATCCTCCTGAAGCAGCTGCCATAAGGGTAGGAGACATGACTCCTGCCCCTCTTAGCTCAAATCCTTCACTTTAGAGGAAATGTCCCTCCCCAGCACCCCCACCCTGATCGCTCTCAGAGGACCACCCTCTCCTCTGGCTATCTTAACTATTCTACGGCTTCAGTTTCTCCAGCTGCAAAAGGGGGAACAACCGCAGTCCCCAGAAGGCTGCAGCGAGAGGGCTGGGATGAGGTCACAGAGGTCTGCATGGGTCCCGGCAGAGGTGGGTGGGGGGATCGTATCAACAGGGCTTCTGGGGGCTTCCTGGCAGGGTGTCCTGTGACAGGTGCAGGGTCTGGGCAGGTGTTGCTGGGATGTCCCTGATCAGCTCTAACTGATCAGAAACGGCTGGACCTAACTGACCTGAATCCTAACAGGGTCCCCTGCCCTGCCATGGGCTTTGGGGGGCTGCTATATAGAGATGGGGCTGGGCCTCATCCCCTGACCCGAAGGTCCCCTTGGGCTCGGCCCTGGGGGCAGGCTTCAGGGAGAAGTGCCCCTCAGTAGTGGGTCCCAGCTGATGGGGTGCTGAGAGCTCCAGGGGGAGGGACCAGGGCACGGAGAATTCCAGCTCAAGCTGGTGGGAGCTAGCCTGTAGTGGGGCCAGGGACCAGAGTCAGGCTTAACCACAGGGGACAGGATGATGTGCTGTGGGAGGCCCGTCCAGCAGCCCCTAGGTCAGTCCATGAGATTTCCCACCTGGCAGAGGTGGCCTCGGGCATCTGGACCCAAGGATGGGCTGGAAGTTGAGCCTGAAGGAAGGGATGACAGCCAGGTCCAGGCCACTAGGATACATCTGACATCAGCTGAGCACCTTCCATGTTCTGAGTCCCGGACGAATTGCCCACCATCCTCACAGCAGCGATGCAGGGTGACAGCCTCACTCTCACTCCACATGTGTCTGGGTCCCAGCTCTGCACTTCCTGGCTGTGTGACCTTGGATAAGTTACTTAACCTCTCTGTGCCATGGTTCCTTATTTCTAAAATGGGGCGAAGAACAGTAGCTACCTCGGAACTGTCACAAGGGTTAAATGAGTCGCAGACACTTAAGCCAGCACCTGTTACAGATGTTTAGCGAACATGGTCTTCCGCTCATATTTTCATTGAAAATGAGGAGGCTGAGGCTCAGAGACCCTGCCCCACACCTTCTGAGGAGCAGGAGGCTGGGCAGGCAAGAGACTCGGGTCCTTCCTCCTGCCATCCAAAGCCCACACCCACTGCAGGAATGTCAGGCTTAGAGGGGATCCTGGAAACTGTCCTGGGGCCCTCGTTTATAGGTGAGGAAACACGTTCAGGAAGGCCCCAGAGGCTCCGAGCTTTCCCATTATGTCCCTCCCAGCGGGAGCCGGACATGCAGCCAGAGTCTCTGAGCCGGCCCGGCCCTTCCCTGCCACACAGCACACGCCTTCTCCAACTCCTGAGAGCTGCTCCCATTAGGAGAGTGTCGCCCCAGGGAGCCTGGGCTGAGATCCTCTCTCACACTCTGGATGCAGAACCCTCTCGGAAGCCAGCAACATTCACATGAGCTCCCTTGCTGGAGATCAACCTGCAAGAAGGCATCAATCACTTGAGCAGCTTCAAGCAGAGTCAGTGGCGGCTAGCTCTCCACCGCCCGGCGGGTGGGGTCCCCGCGGCTCTGCAGCTCACCTGACAAAGGAGAGGAGGAGAGCTCAGCCCTAAGCCCACCTTTCCTGGATCCTGAACAGCCCTGCTGGTTGAGGCTGGTGATCGGGCCAGGTCCAGCCACACTCCAGAGCTGCCAGTCCCAGACCACGGGCAGTGTCCCCAGGACAGAAAGTCACTGCCCCTCCAAACCTCAATTACCTCTTCTAAAGAATGAGGAGCCTGGACTAAGGGGAGGCTGATGTTTTTGTATTTGTTAACATTTATTTGCATCCAAGCCTGCATGTACCTATATAGGAACCCAAAACAATGAAAAGGTGGAATATAAATTTAAAAACAAACTTGAGAACAAAAAGTAAGTAAATTAAAATAGAAGGCTGGGAAAATCATCGTACATGTACAAGACATAAAGCCCATCATAGGAGCTGCATGTAAAACTAGCATTAGCCTCCATGCTGCCTGGTGGCCAAAGTGAAAAGGGAAATTGGGTAGTCTGTATGCACTCTCTAGGGCTTCCCAGGTGGCATAGTGGTAAAGAATCCACCTGCCAATGCAGGTGATGCAGGAAACATGGGTTTGGTCCCTGGGTCGGGAAGATCCCCTGGAGAAGGGCAAGGCAACTGGCTCCAGTATTCTTGTCTGAAAAATTGCACGGACAGAAGGGCCTGGTGGGCTACAGTCCATGGGGTCACAAAGAGTTGGACACGACTGAGCATGCACATGCATGCAAGGCCTCTTTTAGCACTCTGTAAGGTGTTGTATTCCTCGGGGTTCTGAGGGGAGGGCCCAGAACTCCCATTCCCATAATGAATGGGATGCCCCCATGCGACAGGGCTTAGAGAAGATGCTCCCAAAATGGTGAAAGGGACCTGCTGCCTCCTAGGCCCTCTGGGTCTGTCTGTGTTGGCCGCTGGAGCTTGACTAGTCTTGAAGGGTGGTCATCTGACTTGGAGGACTGACCGCAGGGAGGCTGGGCCCCCGGGCAGCCTGCAGGGCGGGTGCTGGCCCCTAGAGGTTCAGTCCCAGCTGGGCCAGACTCAATAGGGGCTGCCCTTTGGCCTATGTGGGCTGGCAGATGCCTCCTGCCCTCTTTACCTCTGTCCAGAGCACGGGCTCCTGGGGCGGTGGAATCCTGGCACGGCCACTACTACTCAGCTATGTGGCTCATTAGGGAGCTCGTTAACCTCATGCCGGCTTGTGAGACTTAAACGGGGAGCATCCGCAGAGGGAGGGGCGCGGCACGTAGTAACCAATCATCTCCCGAGGTTGCGGGGCGGTTCCGGGTGAGGGAAGAGAGCTCCGCCCAGAAGGGCGAGTTGGGGACTCAGCCCTTCTGCGCCCTCCAGCATTTGTCAGTTGCCTATCGAGTCCTGGGCCTCCTCTAAGCCCTTTGTGCACATAACTGACTCAGTCTTCATTGGAGGCACTGCTATTACCGAATTTTACAGATGAAGTGATTTGCCCCGGGTCACATAGCCTGGTTCCACAGCCCGTGTCTTAACCGGCACTTCAGAGGTGCAGGATCTAATTAAATGCGTTTCTGAAACCTGGGAGCGGGCTATTCATGCTCCCCCACCCGGTGAAGGGAGGCGCCAGGTCCTTGGGGACCACAACCCACCATCTGGGTCTTCCTCTGGCTCTAGACTCCTGGTCTCACCACTAGAGGGAGACCGTGAGCATCGACCCCATTCCCAGATGAGGAAAACTGAGGCTGAGGAGAGGCTGTTCCACGAGCTGCCTGCAGGTGCGTGGGCTGCAGCCCGGAGCTAGAAACTTTATGTGTCCCCTTACTTCAGCCTCATCAGGCTGCAGGGCTGGGATTTCAAAGCAGCCTCTTGGAGTTACTTCAAAGGAAACAATGTCTCTGCCCCTCCTGCTTGCCCTGCGAGTCCCTCTGCCTCCCAGGTGTGAGGGTCCCGCAGAGGCTGGGCTCGGAGAGGCGAGGGGCGGGGGAGAGCGGCGAGGGAGGCAACAGAGAGTGAACACGCGGGGGTGGGGGCCGCCAGCCTGGGCCGGGGTGTGCGCAACCGGAGTCCGGGCCCGAAAACTGTTGCTTTTCACACGTCAGCTGTGCCGGAGCAGAAGGCAGAGGCGAGCCTGCCCAGGGCTGTGGACGGATTTCGGCAAGAGATGGGTCCTCACACGCCCAGGCCCTGGGACGGAAACAGGTGTCTGGTGAGGCCCGCAGCGGGGCAGGGGGGGGGGCACGCTGCTGTCTCTGCTCCCGCCCCATGCTGCCACCCTCCCCCCTAGGGTCTCAGGCTCATGAGCAGCTTTCCTGCAACCCCCCCCCCCCCCTGCCCCACACACACACACAACCAGGGCAGCCTTGAAGGACCTGGGGAGGTGCCTCCTACTCTCCTCACCAGGAGCCCATGGGTGGGCATGACTTCATGTCATGCTTTCATATCACAGATGGGGACACTGAGGTTCCGAGGTTAAGTAACCGACTGAGCGAGGGGCCAAGTCAGGCTGTGAAGCCGGGCCTCCCTGCGGTGTCCTCCCCACACCCACGAGCATCCATGTGTCAGTCATTCAGTCGTGTCGGACTCTTCGACCCCATGGACTGTAGCCCACCAGGCTCCTCTGTTCGTGGAATTTTCCAGGCAATAAGACTGGAGTGGGTTGCCATTTCCTTCTCCAGGGGATCTTCCTGGCCTAGGGATCGAACCTGAGTCTCCTGCATTGCAGGCAGATTCTTTGCCATCTGAGCCACCAGGGAAGGCCATGAGCAGCCGCGGCAGCCCACAAACCAGCACTCTGGGGCTTGGGCACAGAGTTCAGGGAAGAAGATGCAGAGAGGCAGCCCCACTGCTGGGGGCCACACCTACAGTCATGCTGGGCTGGACCTGGAGATGGCACCAGCAACTATTCTATCACCAGTTATTAAAAAAAAAAAATTCTTAACATAGCATTTCCTACACGCCAGGTACAGCAGTGAGCAGTTCCTAAGTATCACCTACTTTAATTTCATCTTTCTAGCAACACTATGAGCTACGTGTTACTGTCAACCCCATTTTACAGATGAAGAAACAGGCCCAGAGAAGTTAGGTCCCTTGCCCAAGGTCACTCAGCTGGTGAGAGCCGGGCCGCGAGCTTCCAGCCTGTGCCCTTGGCCCCTCCCGACAAGCCCTCATCAGGGCTCCGTTTAGCACAGAGGCTCCAGCTTCTCGTTCTCACGCTAATTATTTTCCACTCGTCTACAACAAGCGGAATTTGCCATCTGCCATGGGCCCTGTCACTGACACCAGCCAACTCCCTGGGAATCAATTGAGGCCTTTCGTTTCCTGCTAGTTATTCCAGGAGGGAGGCTGGCTGCTGGGGGATGAGTCTGGGGGGGCTGTCGCCCTGAGAGGCAGCAGGATGTGCCCCCCCCCACCCCTCCACCCCTCCCTACCCCGGGCATGGCAGTCAGGCCGGGCCCTCCTTCCACCCTGCAGTCCTCCCTGGTCCACTCCTCCAGCTTTGTCCCGGGCCAGAATGGACTTGTTCCGGAGAGCAGAAGAGATTCCCCTCTGGCCAGTCCAGGTTTTGTTTCTGAATTCTTCCCTGGAGACGGCTTCTATTCCTGAAACTAGGAATGGCCTTCGTCCCACACTCATTCTGGTGCCTGGGGCCGAGGTGCCCTGGGGTGGCCCCGAGAGGCTGGGCTCTGGTCTCCCAGCCCCTGGCCAGTTCCTCCTGCCTGTCTGTGCATGGAGGCAGGCGCCCTTCACAGGTTTGTTTCTATTTAGGCGGAGTCTTTCCTGCGCTGCCCCTGTGGTTGTGTCGCGTCCCCCGTTCCCCTGGGACCCGCAGTCTCAAATGCGAACTCCTGGAGGGTATTGGTTCCTCCAAGGAGCCCACCGCTGGCTTCCCTCCAGCCTGAGGTGGGACAGCCCTGAGTTTGCATCTTGATTCTGTTACTTCGAGGTGTCTGTGACCTTCATTTCTCTGAGTCTCTGTTTGTTCATCTGCAGGAGAGGACAACGAAGGTCCCCGCTTCACCCGGAGTCGTGAGGAGTAAATGAAATAACGCATCGAAAGCACTCAGCGCCTGGCAAGTGTTCGTTGCCACCATCATTATTTATCCATCATCTTCTCCTGAGAGTGCTTAGACCTCATCCTTACGGCCCAAATCCCTCACCGCCTGAGCTGTGGCAGGGCCACTGATCTCTGCAATCGAGTCAGGCCTCCTGCACAGAAAGGCCCTGCTCCCCACCCCTGGCCACCAGGCTGACCCATGCCTGCCCTCACCCGAGCCAGCCTACAGGATGCCCTGACCCACCTTCTCGGGTAGAGATGGCAGGAGCCTCACCTGCCCAGGCTGAAGCCTCACCAGACCTGCCTCCTTAACCCAGGACTAGCCACTGAGATGAGAATCACCATCCCATGGCTCAGCTTGGAAGGGGGAGCTCCGGCTCAAGGCCCCTCCATGCTCCTGCAGACGCCCCCCATCGTCTGTCTCAGAGGTTCAGGGGGTCCTCTGTAGGGCCCTTCCCAGCCCAGACTCTGGATGCCCCAAGGAGCAGAGGCCCACCGCTCATGCCCATGTGCCCACTCCAGCATCCTGCTGGCAGTGCCCCCTGTGGACCCCCTGGCCCCTGGCCTCCCCCGGGGCCTCCGCTCTCTGGCGAGCCAGTCACTGGGAACCCCACCAGGCAGTTCATCTGCAGCACACTGGCCTGGCTTCCCAGAGCTTCTGAGAAGAGTCTCCTTGTTCCGGGTGCTGGCAACACCTCCGAGAGGATTTAGCACCCTCCACTTCATGAGGAGCCCCCAGCGAGGCCGCTAATGAGTCTGCTAAGTGGGCACACCTCGCCTGACACCTTCCCACCGGGAACCCCGCCCCCACGCCCCGCATACCCTGTGCCACCTCGGTCCTATCGGTCCTATCGCGCCTGCCTCTGCAGCCTGTACTGGGGGGCTCCCGACTCCGGGGGTGGGGGCTGCATGGGCTACGGAGGATCCGCAGAGGGGGGCCACCTCCCCGGGCAGCACAGCCATCTCGGGCATAGCCCTGCACTCGGGTATGGAGTTTCACGTCAACAATTCCCTGGGCATCGCAGAAGCGGGCAAGGATCGAGTGACTGCGTAACACAAGCTCTCTCCCAGGGGACGAGGTCTGCAGAGTCCCCATGTGCCACAGGAGCATTGCTGGAGGCGGCAGGTGCTGCTTCCATGGGCCCTGGGGCCTCGGGAGGTGGGGGGGGGTGGGTCACGGCAGGCTGCAACTTGCAGGCTATGCTGGTCAGAGTGGCTATTTTAGCTTTTTTACTCACTGGGGCTCCTTGTGACATTGTGTTTGAGCTAAATGGTCTCAGGGCTTAAAAACGTTTGAGAAACCCCTGGAAACAGCCTGACCTCTCAGGTAGGTCCCCTCTGGCCTTGGATTTTAGAGTTCTACTTGCTATTTTGGTACAGGAGAGAGCCTCAGGGCTTCACCCAGGGGTCTAGGAAAATTCAACCATCACGCATGTCTGCCTGGCCTGCGCCACAAGGCACCGAAGGAAACACTGACCCAGGTGCTCGGAGACTCCCTCTGGCCCCCTCGTTCCCTCACATCTCCTTGGGCACGGCAAAGTCAGGCCCAAGCACATGACCCCAAGTCTCCAGGGAGGGCTGGGGGCTCTGAAGGCCACTGGATGGAGAACAGGGTAGACCTGCTTTTTGTTCTAGTGTCTGTCTACTCAGGCGTGCACTGAACCATGACCTTCCAAGTCAGGATGAATCAACCACTGCTTTCTCCTCCTCGGGAAAGCAGGGCTGGTGATGACAGTGCCTTCCTCGTGGGAGATGACAAAGTGAGTTCAAAGTTGTGAAGTGCTGAGAGCTGGGTCCTGCATACACGGGATACTTGGTAGCATTGGCTACACACACACACACACACCCACCCACCCACCCACCCACCCACACCTGTTTACAGTTTTAACTAAATTAACCCCCTCCTCACAAGTTGCATTAAAACTCCTAAATTCCCCTTGTTGTTGTTACTATTTAGTTGCTAAGTTGTGTCCAACTCTTTGAGACCCAGTGGACAATAGCCCGCCAGGCTCCTCTGTCCATGGGACTTTCCAGGCAAGAATACTGGAGTGGGTTGCCATTTCCTTCTCCAGGGAATCTTTCCAACCCAGGGAGCAAACCCACGTCTCCTGCATTGCAGGCAGATTCTTTACCACTGAGCCACCAAGGAAGCCCCTAAATTCCTCTCAAATAAGATGACAACGCCCAACTATTAGCTATTGAGCTCTGCACCAACCAGCCTCTCCAGCCCAGCTCTTGAGCAAGCCCGTTCCCTGCACCCATGTCCCTCTCCTGCTCATTAGTGGTGTGGCCCCTGCCTGGTGCTTCTTTCTCTCTAGATACCCGCTCACTTTAGGGATTCCTCCCTGGCAAAGCCCAGGGCCCATCCTGTCAGCCTTAAGCCCCAGTCCTGGTTGGTCAGCCCACGGCTCACCAGTGAAGTTGCGGCTCACCATCCTGCAGGCTCCGGGCCCTCCTGTCTCACCTTGTCTGTTAACACTGGAGGCCCCCCCACTGGCCTCCCCCTACTTCTCCCCCCAGGCTAGGGGATGGGCCCAGTGGCTCAGGACAACATAGACTGGAAATTGGGGGGCACTGGCCTCCACAATGGGAGTGACTCCATCAGGCCCCAAATAGAGAGGTCAGCCTTCTGCCTCCTCAGGCCTGGGCGGGACCTAAGGGCCAGCTCTGTATCTGGGCACATGAGGCCTGGGAGAGAGCAGGGCCGACCTGGGCTCCGGAGTAGGGTGTCACTTTCCTCCCCAGAGGACTCACCCTCAGGGCCTGGGGCCCCAGGCTCATCACACTGTCACCCCTGGGGCCTCGGCGGAAGGAGGAGCAGCCGTGGTGACTGCACTCGCTGCCGGCCCTGCCCGCCCCCAGTGGCACTCCTCGGCCATTTCACAAGGTCACGGCGGGAGGTGACAGGCATTTGGCAGGGTCTCCGCCCTGTCGACCTCGGGCAGGCGCCCGCGGCCCCATTAACTGCCCGCCACCAGCAGGGACACACCTGGCAGCCGCAGGGAGGCTGGCAAAGCTGCTGGTGACTCCAGGGCCCAGACCTTTCAACCAGAGCTGACTGCACCGCGGAGACAGGCCGGCAGGGCCGGGCGCTGAGCGCTGTGACGGGGCGCCCACCTGGGGCCCAGGAGACAGACAGGGTCCTGGCCAGACCAACTGGGGCCGAGGCTCCTGCCAGGCGGAGAATGGCACCGTGTCCCCGCCGGGCTCGGGGAGCAGGGTGACAAGGCCTGCTTCCTCAGCAGGCCCAGCCCTTCGCCGCTTGCCCAGGAAGCCTCTGGAGTCGGGGGTGGAGGTGGGGGAGTCGGCAAGAGCTAGGGGACCGGAGGGGGTGGCCTGCGTCACGGCTCCTGCTGACTGCCCCACCCTCGGTGGCCACTGGCTGCTATAAATATGGCTCCTGCCTCCGATGGTGCAGGAGGTGACCTAGAATTGTGGGCTCTGGGGCCTCCTGGGCGCCCCTCCCCGCCAGCATCAGATTCGGCAGCCTGACCAGAATGTCCTTGCAGCCTGAGAGCCCACCCCCATGGCGAGCATGGCCTCAGCCGGGGCTGGGGAGACCCTGGCACTGGGAGGGATGGCTGCAGCTTCCCAACCCCAGTCTCCCATCACCATCCCTTCTACCACTTGGCGGCAAGCGCCAGGGATGCCGGGTCCCCCGAGATTGACAGCCTGGCCAGTCCGCAGAGGAGACAGGTGGGAGGCCTGAGACCACTCACCGCAGCCTCCACCCTAAGGCCCGTGGGCAAAGGCCCCAAGGCCATTTGTTCTGCTCCCCCCCCCCCCCCCAGTCCACGGCTCCTTGGCAACGCCACCTGGGTTGCAAACCTGCCACCACCCGGAAGCCAGCCTGGATGGACTCGACACTGACTTTCCTTCCAGTTGGTGGCAGGCATCTGAGTGAGCCCATTCCCCCTCGAGGGACCCCGGGCAAGTCCAGGCCCCAAACCCCAGGGCTGAGCGGACCTGGGAGCAGAGGACACCGCGTGGCCCCAGGCCTGGCGGTTTCGAGGACCCCCAATCCCCACGTGTGGCCAGTTTGGTTCCAGACTCCCTGGCTCAGGGCAGCACTGGGACCTAAGGGGAGAGGACGCCAGGGGCAGCCCCCCGGGTGGGGCCCCAGGGTGTGAACACAGGTGAAACGTCGTAAAAATTAATTTCCCGCACACAGCCATCCTCCACCCTCCAACACACAATCAGAGAGCCCACTACATGCCAAGGGGCCACAGCAATAAGTAAAGGCCCAGGTGGGGCCAGCCCTCATGGATCCGGCAGGTCAGAAAGGAAAGACAGGCTGGAAGCTAATCTTCACATACGATAGTGAAAAATTCTACGACTTGTGCTCAGAAGAGGGGTCCTCATCAGAGCCCCAGCACAGAGCTGAGGGGCAGCTGCCTTAAGAACTGGGAGCCGGAGCTGAGGTCTGAAGTATAAGGTGGAATAACCTGGCCCCTCGGAGAGGGCAGCAGGTCCATGTGCGGGGCGGGGAGGGGAACCTGGAGGATGGAGTGAAGACCAGAACCAGCCAGATGGGAGCCGAGGGGAGGGATGCGCTGGAGAGGCTCCTGGGGTCTTGTGAGCCAGCTTCACCCTGGGGCTGGGTGGGAAGCTCCGGGTCAAGGTGGGCATGATAGGGGAGAGGAGTGGGGGCCAGACCGAGATGCAGCAGATGGCGGTGACCGACAGGCCAGGTACTGCTGAGGGCGCCCCGGCCTGATGATGGTTCCCCCAGACAGGAGGAGGGGCCGGCACTACATCAGCCCTCAGAGCCTTGAGCCGCCACCCAGGGCTGCCCGCCTGGAGCACTTCCTGCCCAGTCTCTTCCTGCAGGCAGGGGAGGATGAGCCACGCCCTGCTCCACCGCATCCTGGGGGAACCCACTCCCCAGTTTCAGCTCTGCCCTCGGGCGGTGCGGCAGGCCAGGGCGTCTGTCCAGCAGGCACCCACTCAGGGGTGATCCCTGGGCTGCACTCCCCCAGCCGAGGGACCCCCATCACGAGCCTGAGGGAAGAGGCATTCTTCCTTCCGTGCTCATCTCCTCACTCACCCCCCCGCTGGCTCTGGCCACAAATGCCACCACCCGGGGGAGGGGGGTGGTGTGCTGCACTAAAGCGGGGAAACAGGCTCGGAGAGAGGATGTCTCTGCCAGTCGACCAGCCTCCCCCCCCGCCCCCACACCCCATTTCCAGTCTCCATGCGGAGCTCATCACATGTAGAAAACACTCTCCTTCCTCTGCCGGACGGCCTGCCCCCACCTCCACGCTGCCCTTGCTCACCAAGCCCCAGGCACGCGGGTTTTCTCTCTGTCCCTCAGACAGCCAAGCCTGTCCTGTCTCCTGGACACACCAACCCCCTGCCCACCCCATCATTCTGATCCCAGCTCATGCATCCCTCCTCCCGCCTTCCTGCCCAGCCTCAGGGCAGCCCGCAGGCCCTCTCCATCACATTACCATTTTATTTCCCTTTCAGCACTTTCCACCATCTAACCCTCTCTGGTTTATTCATGGGTTGACGTGTTTACTATCTAAGCAGCAACCCACTCCGATATTCTTGCCTGGAGAATACCATGGGCAGAGGAGCCTGGCAGGCTGCAGCCCATAGGGTCACACAGAGTCGGAACACAACTGAAGTGACTTAGCACGCACATTACTGTCTGAGTCTCCCCACCAGGATGTGGCTCCTGCGCAGAGGCCTTGTCTGTCTCCTTCCCTGGTGTGTCCCCAGCCCTCAGCAGAGGGCCTGGCAGGTGGCAGGAGCCACATCTAAAGTGCAGCCTTGGGGAATCCAGTTCAGAGTGGAACCCAGAACCAGGCTCCTGATTTCCAGCCCCAGCTCTTTCCATTCCACCCACTGGCCATGTGCCTTGAGTCCCAGCTCGGGCCTGGATGGCTCTCCGGCAGCAGAGGCCACGGATGGGCTTCCCTGGCGCCTGAAGACCACACTGCAGGCGAGGCGCGGGAGAAACGCAGCGCCATCGTTGCTCCGATGATGCAGAAATGCAGGGTTGGGGTGCTGGTGATCTGCTGGGGTGATACTGAACAGTGGAGCCAGGATGCGGCCAGTTGTCTGGGGTGTCCTGTTGGCTAAGGGGCTCCACTGCATGGATGCACCTGCTCCCTTGGCCTTCCAGCAGGCGCCCAGGCCTGCCTGTCCATGGGAGGGTGGCCTGTGGTACCCCCCCACCACAAAGCCTGCTGCTGAAGGGAAGGCACACGTCAGCGGGGAGACCGGGGCTTGTGTTCTCGGGGTGTGGCGAGCACTCGAGCCCCCTCCCCACGACAGGGTCCCTGAGAGACCCACGTGGGGTCCAGATCCGGGGCTCCCCAGGATCCCAGGGATGCTGTCAGCAGGAGGAAAGGGAACACCTGGAGAATGACTCCCCTCTTAGAGCCTCAGTCCTCTCCCGTTTGGGGCTTCCCAGGTGGTACAGCTGGTAGAGAACCCCTTGCCAATGCAGGAGACACAAGAGATGCAGGTTCGATCCCAGGGTCGGGAAGATCCCCTGGAGAAGGAAATGGCAACCTACTCCAGTATTATTGCCTGGAGAATTTCATGGACTGAGGAGCCTGGCGGGCTACAGTCCATGGGGTCACAGAGAGTCAGTCACGACTGAGCATGCAATGCACACACTCTCCCATTTCCCCAGGACTCACTTTTTTGTTCCTCCCGAATGCTCACTTGCCAAGGGCCTTCAGCCTCTGCTTTGCAGACATAATCCTAGGAAAGATGCTGAAATATCGATACCACCGCATGGCTGCCCTGGGAGGGAGATGGGCCAGGAATGATCATTCTAGGCCCAGTATTTTAGATCAATCAGAACCAAGGCCAAAACCTAGGCCATCGGTGACTTGCCCGTGACTGCGGAGCCTTGAAGCCTCTTTCCTCTCCAGACAATGAGCATGGGAACAGTGGCTGCCTCATGGGCTGGGGGCTGGCTGGGGGTGGGGACCAGAGATGACCAGGGAAAGGGCCTGCCCTGCAGATCCTCATTCTGCCTCCTCCCTGTGACCCTCACCTACTCTCTGCCAACTTCCTAGGAATGGGAGGAGAACAAGACAGAGCGGAGGCTTCTTAGAAGGAAAGCACTATAAAAAGCCTCAAAATATGATTACTTCCCTTTAAGACAGAACCCTGGGCTTCAACACCCCCGCCCCCGTGGGGCCTCATCGGGATTCTCCCAGCGTCCCCCCTCCTCCTGCACCATCAGGAGACCCAGCGGGAGACACGCCCCAGCCTCCCCCTACTAGAGGCAGAGGACCAAGGCGGGTCTGGACGGCGGGCAGGCTGGTTCTCAGCCCTGTGGCTGGCTCTGTGCGGCCCGCCCACCCTTGGCATCTGGAGTCCTCTCAGCTCTTCTGGGCCTTGGGAGGACATGTGAGATCACATCTGGGGAGTGCTCGGAGCTCCTCAGAGAAAAAAAGCCAGAGGGATCCAAAGTGGGGGTTACGTATCAACGGGCTCATTTATTAGCACTTTGGTTTAGGTCGGGGACAGAGGGGGGAGATGCATGGGGTTCGCTGTCCGAGAACCCAGGCTTCGTACTGGGCTCGGTTTATACTACCTGTGGGCAAGTTGGGGCTTCCCAGGTGGTACAGCTGGTAAAGAACCCCTTGCCAATGCAGGAGATGCAAAGGGCGCAGGTTCGATCCCAGGGTTGGGAAGATCCCATGCAGAAGGAAATGGCAACCCACTCCAGTATTACTGCCTAGAGAATTTCATGGACAGAGGAGCCTGGTGGGCTACAGTCCATGGGGTCGCAGAGAGTTGGACACAATTGAGTGTCCAACTTAAATCTGTGACTTAAATCACAGCCTCGGAGGACTAGCACTCCCCTCTTCCACGTAGGTCCTGCTCCCCGGATAAGAGGTGGTGGTGGAGACACCAGGCTGCCTCCCTAGCCCCAGCATACAGCCAGCTCCCCCAGGGCCACCACGGGAGTGACCAGACAACCTCACACGGCCGTGCCCCCCTGGGAAGACCGTCCCCAACTTGAGCTAGGATGCGCTCCCGGCTGCGCGCTGTGTAGAGAGTTCTCAGCCCATGGTGGGTGCAGTCCAGCCCCCTGGTGACAGCCTGCTGGTCCTCACGGCTTGTCTGGCAGGCACCAAGGGGTGGAGTGACCACGGGCCACGGCAGTGGGCTTGCTAAAGGCCACAGTGCAAAGCAAGGTGGGCACCCCGTGGTAGGGCAAGATCCCTCATTCTCCAGGACCTGAGCCACAGGCAGGACTGCAGGGAGCGGGGTGCCAGCTCCCTGTCCAGCTCCTTCAGGCCTCTCCCTGGGGTCCCAGCTTCAGGGGAGAAATGGCTCCTTCTCCACTGGGATGCGAGACCCTCCCAGCCTCTGTTTACCTAATCTGTTCCCCTTGGTCCCAAAGATCCAGCCTGTGACTTCAGGGAGCCACCAAACACATTCCCCAGTAGGTGAATGCCGCTCTCAGGAGGAGATGTGGGGGCGGGCCCGGACCAGGGAAGTTTCTGGTTCTGATTCATCTGAAAGGAGGTGAGGGCAGGGCAGGGAAGGCCTGAATCAGGGCAGACTCTCCTCTCTGGGACGGAGAGCAGGGCCGTGGACAGGCGCAGCTGCCCCAGGAAAGGAAGGGACACAGGTGTCCGGTGGGATCCTCCCCGCTTAGGCCACGTGCTCCTCTGCCCCTGGCTGCACAAAAGCCCCATTGATGCCAGGCCTCGCCTCCACGCTGCTGCCCTGACTCAAGGGCTCTGGGGACCTCTCCTGCTCCTTGCTGACCATCCAGCTGCCGCTGCCACTGCTGCCCTGGCACGCCAGGCATGCCAGGCCCAGCAGTGCAAAGTCACATGCTGTGCGCGGGCGAGGCCAGGCACTGCCGGGGCAGCGTCGGACTGCAGGGTGTGGCACTTACGGGCAGCGCAGCCCTTCTCGGTTACACGGAAAAGCTGGACGCCAAAAACAGTGGACCACTCGTCCGCTACCCCCGCCCAGTCCCACCCACTTTCCTGGAGGGCAGATCCTTGGGCAAACAGTCAGCCAGGTGCTGGCGGCAGGGCAAAAGCAGGGCTGGGAAAAGCAAACACTGCGGGCCACCCCCACCCCACCCTGTACACCAAGCCTTCTCCAGGGTACAGGGTATGTACCGGAGCAGGAGGCTGCCAGGGAGAGTCAGGCTGACCGGGGCCTGGACCTTGGCCATGTTCCTGACTGGGTGACTCTGAACAAGTCTCGGGACCTGGGGCAATGCCCACAAGTACCGCTCTTGTGAAGGTTAATTGGGAGGAGGCCTGTGTGGGAGCACTTAGCACGGTTTGGCATAGACTAGGGTCTTGATTCACGGAGGCTCTGTCCAGTGCTACATGGACGTGGGGTGAAGCTGGGGCAGGTCACAGAATGAGGGGCAGCACCCATGGGAGTCTGGGCACCACACCCTCTGAGGGCATGCTTATTCATGGCCCCCTTGTCTTAGCCTCTGGGAGAGACTTCTGACAATGGCTCTACTAGCAGGGGCTGCTCCACCAGCAAGAGATGCTCCACCAGCTGAGGCAGGAGGTGCTCTACCAGTAGGAGTGCTCCACCAGCAGGAGGTGCTTCACCAGCAGGAGTGCTCCACCAGCAGGAGGATGCTCCACCAGCAGGAGTGCTCCGCCAGAAGGAGGTGCTCCACCAGCAGGAGGATGCTCCACCAGCAGGAGGTGCTCCACCAGCAGGAATGCTCCACCAGCAGGAGGTCCTCCACCAGCAGGAGGTGCTCCACCAGCAGGAGGTGCTCCACCAGCAGGAATGCTCCACCAGCAGGAGGTGCTCCACCAGCAGGAGTGCTCCACCAGCAGGAGGTGCTCCACCAGCAGGAGTGCTCTACCAATAGAAGATGCTCCTGCTGGCCCCAAACTCAGGGCAACCATGAGTCAGATCCCAGAATTCCTTCCAGCTGCCGAGGGCCCCACTGGCCCCCATGCAGGGCTTCTGCGTCAGGCTGGCCCCGCCCCACAAGCAACCAGAGGGTCACGGTCTGCTCCTCCTCACAGACCCTACTCTGGGGTTGAACGGCACACGCTGGTGAAACCACCTGGCTTTCATCTGCTCTATCACTTACCATGGTCAAGTGCTCTGCGGCATCAGAATTCGTCATGCCTCCGTGCCTTGGCACAGGCCATTCTCCTGGCAGAGGATGCCTTTTCTAGTCCTATTCTTCCGCGAACTCCTCAACCTACCAGGGCTTAGCCTAAGCACACCCTCCTCTGTGAAGCCTGCAGAAGCCTGCCAGCCCTGAGGCAGATCCGACTGGTGCCCCTCCATTCCTGCCCCAGGTACCCTGGTTCCCCACCAAGATGGGAGCTCATGGAGGGCAGGACTGCACCTTCTGCCTGTGTCCTTGGCACCCAGACTATGCCTGGGGCCTCGCAGCTGCTCAAGAAACGTCAAACCAGTCCAGGCCCTTGTTCTTCCGAGATCTTGCCACTGGCCTTTTTTGGCCAAAGAGACTCAGGCAGCGTGTGGTAACCTAGGCAAGACAGCTTCCCTCACAAAGCTGATGGGGGCTCGAGAATTCTTCTGCTTGGACACCGTCCACGCTCTGTGCACCAAGCTTCCCCACAGTCAGAGGCAGCTTCGGGGGCTGCAGGCTGTCTCCCAAAGCAGAAAGCAAAGTTAACAGGAGGGCGAGCACAGGGAAGGGAAGTGCAGCCGGAACTGCAAGGGGAAAGGGAGTCGTGGCTGCCATCTGCCGTGAACAAGATGTTTGGAGAACACGCACTCCTCGGCTCGGAGGTCTCCCAGCCAACTCTCGGAGGGCGGCTGCCCCTCCGCAGATGGGCGCCGGCGGGCTCAGCCAAGCCCGAGAGGGGCCAGGCCCCCTCCCACCACCCAGACCTTTCAGCTGCCCCCGCCTGACCTCTTGCTTCTCAAGCAGGGGGCGGGGGGAGGTGATGCCAGCCCAGGACGCGAGCCATCTCTTCCAGGGAGCCCCCCACAGGCTCTGAGGGGACAAGTCCATCACAATGATAATAACATCACAGACATCCTAACAAGGGTAACAACACCGGTTCAGTGAGAGCTGGATGACCTGCCGGAAGGCCTTGTATTGGGAGCTCGCGGCCACCATCTCACTTCAGCCGTCATCCCAGGGAGGAGGGAGGAGACACAGAGAGTCCAGGAGGGCACCTGTGCTCTGCCCCAGGGTGCAGGGCACCTGGCCACCGAGGCCCATTAGGAGACGGTCCTCAGGCCCTCCTTTATTCTCTAAGCTGGGGGAGCTCAGTGAGCAACAGGAGAACATCTGGGTGAGAAGGGACCTTCCGGACCACGGAGTCACACACCCGCATTTCAGGGAGGGAAGGGAGCACTAAGGATGTGGAAACCTGCCCCAGGCCACCCCGAGGTCAGCGGGAGGTTGGGAGCAGCATGAACCCTGGCCTGGGACCCGGCTCCCGGGGCCTCAGCAGGCTCCCATGCAGGGCTGTTCTCTGGCCTTTAAAGAACGCAGCCCTCGGAGGGCTAAGGGGGCTGGCCCTGCCTCGAGGGCCCATCCTGACCAGGCCTCCCTTATCCTCCATGCCCCTGACTGCAGCAGGGGGCCGAGCTGAAAGCCAGGGAAGGAGAGACCTGTCTTCCTGGCTGTGCCCCAGGCCTGCTCTGGACCTCCCCCCGGGTCGCCCTGCCCGGAGCCTGCTCACAGAGGGATTCATGTGGCCAAAAAGGCTGGGCATGCTTGCAGGGGTTCTGGGTGGCCCGCTCACCAGAGACGCTGGAGCTGCCCCGTGGCACCCGGCCAACCACACCCGTGGCCT